TTTTTTTTCTTTTTAGTCCGAAAAGGTCCCTTCGCCTGGAGCACTTTGCAAAATTGCCAATTTTCGCGCGCGCTCTAATCGAGGCACGCGCGCGTTTCCGAATAAAAGGAGCCACCTCGAGAGACAAAAACACAATCCAGCACGATTCAGCAATTCCAACATTTGAAATGTATGTTTGCGCATGTGATTGCACCCTCGCCCGCACGCAGGGGTTCGGCACAAAAAGCCATGCCGAGTTTTCATTTTGCTAATTAGTGCGCGCCGCAAATCTAAATATTCTCTTACCTGCGTGCACGGGATAAATTTGCACACGCACAATGGAAGCCGAGCAGCAGCTTTTGTGCACCGCGAACAATGAAGTATGCGCGCGCGAAAATAATAAGCCATTATATATTTTCCGCGCGCTGCTCCGCTCTAGTGCGCGCCACGTTTTCAGTGGCATGTATGCATCTCGCGCAGTCCCTGCTCTGCAAATCTCTTGATGGCTAAAAAAAATCGCATTCTTATTTTCCATTTGGAAATTAAAACTAACTGGCATAATGTCTCAAATTAATTTAGTTATATATCTCGTAGTATCTTTATAATTATCTAGAGAAATTCAGATAGTTTTCTTACTCCGGCATAGGCAGGTAACCATACAATTTTTAGAAACTGCATTTTATTCCTGTAATATTCAAATATAATTGCAGTCTTCAATTAACTTTTGAACTAAGTTCTTAACTAAAGAATGATAATATATCATACAAAGTAGATGACAACATTTTATAATGAAACGTTAGTATACTTACGTTTGCTGCTGCCAAATAATTTATTAATATAATTCGTTTTAGTGATGTCAATTAAGAAAAGTATGGATGGCAGTAGACGGAATTATTTTTATCTGATCTAAATTAAAATTAATTACAAATAATTGTAAAAAATATTATAACAAAATTATTTATTTATTTGATTAAAATTATAAGAAATTTTGTTTAGTAATAACGATTTTTGAAGATTTTGAAGTAAAAAATATATGGTATTGCTGTTTTAATTAAATTGTGAAGAATAAACTAATATGTATGTATATATAATTATTTTCCATGTTGGAAGGAAATAAATATTATAAGTTCACTTCGAAGATGACTTGTTAGTTTTTACGTACGTTTCTATATAATATCTTTATTTTTAACTTTTTGTATTGAAAAAATCCACTTGCAGCTGCATTGGAAGTACGCAAAAATCATTATGAATTTAGGTGCTTGGCGCGTATGGAGGGTGAATAAAGCCTTTGTGCGATCGCACACACATCATTATCGCGAGCCTGGCATGCCTGATTGATTCCATCCAGCGGAATGATGAGAGAAATACGCAGAGGGATGCAAATAATGTATATGTATATTTACGGTGCGAGAGCGTGCGTAATTCGGAGCGCCCGAATAATTATTTCAGAACGACGGCGCGCTACTCGAGTGCTGGCGCACAGTCCTCCAGAAGCAAGACGCATGTTAATTTAATTGCTGCCTCGGTGCTTTGCGAATAATGACGTGAAAATTCCGTCGGAAAACGTTAAAAAAAATTCGTTGAATAAATCATGTGGTGCCACACCAAAGTTTGGGGCTTAAGTAGTCGCTGTTTATTTGTTATCAATTACCAATGAAAATAAACTGACTAGCTCTGGAAATAGATTCTTGTGCTAACAGCGCTTGCTCTTTGAAATCGGGAGCTATCACGTGTGCCGAGGGAAGAAATATGGCTTGCGATCGCGCTGGCTGCATCATGGATGGTGCACTCGCCCAATATCTAGCTGTGTGTATATCTCGCTGGGCGTAAAAATTTGTTTGTTCTGTGCGCGGCTGTTCGGGAAAATCAAACACCAGCCACGGTGATGATGCTACCGCCTCGTTTTATTGCTTTATTACAAAAAACCTTATCGGGGCCTAAAAACAACAAACACCATTGAGCTGCCGTGGCAGCCAATTGCATGCACTCACAAACTCAATAAAGTAATTGCCCTATCGGCTAATGACGAGAAAATTTTGGCAGTTCAATTATTATCGGAAAACTTCTCGTCGCCGACGACTCACCGTGAAAAACATTTTTATTGTTTGTTTAATATTCTTTTTAACTGTTCTTTAGATAACAGTTATTTGATATTTTGACAAAAGAATTGTTATAGTAATTAAAAAAATATAAATATAAATTCTATGAAATTTTATTGAAAAAAAGCATGAATATTTATCAATTAATTGAGAATATTATTAATTTTCCTTCAAAGCAGCTAACAAGTAAACCCTATTACAGCCCTATACTAAAAATAATGCTAAACTTTCAGTCTTTTGATTCAAACTTATTCTGAAGAAAATTGTGCAAAAATGTGCACCAATGCTTCATGACTTTTGACCTGGTAAATATTCATTCGACAATTTTTCACACATGGAGTCCTCTAAAAATCTTGAAGTTCTGTTCATAAAAGCTCGCAGATATTGAGAGAGAGCGGAATGTTTTACAGAGCGCAGATTGCGGGACATCGCGTATATTTAAACTTTAGTTGAAAACGTGCTGGGTATATAGTGAGTGCTGTTGGAGGCTTGGACTTGTGGTTCCAACAACAGCTCTGAACAGAACTCCCACAGGCAAGAAACAATAAACACGGTGCCACTTTAATCGCCGCCGCCACAGCTCTGCATATTTCATGTTAAAACGAGACTCCTTAAAAAACAGGCCAAGTGCGTTTCCAGCAGCCTGGATGCATTAGTCTCGGCCAGCTTCCGATGCCTTTTTGAAACTAACAGAAAAATATAAAAAAACCTTTTATTGTAATACTCTTAAAAAAAAAAAAAATGTAGCACATTTTGAAAAAATTGTAATAATTTGGAATAAAATGATGCCTTGTGTAACTAATTTCTAAAATTATTTGTCAACATTTTCGTAATCTGCGCTGAACTGGACACTACATAGACAGAGTGTGCCAGAAATTTCTCACTTGCCAATAACCGCACGCTGGAGAAGTAATCGGTGGGTTGTGAGAAAAGATGTCACAACAAAGGCTGCCGGGCGGCGTTAATTAGAAGGGTATTAACTTTTTGATAAAGGCTTTGCTGCTGCTGCTGTTTGTTGTGTGTGTGTTTTTCGTGCCATAAAGGAAGGGAATCTCTCGCAGGCCAAATGATATTGGGCGCAGATGGTGTTATCACATTTGACAGCCACAAGCGGTGCGGCCTTTGTGCTGCGGAGCGCTCGGCGATATCATTACATAGCCACTGGAACACACGCACACAGGGTGCTTAGCTGCAATTCCGTCCCTGCACGTCCAGCGTGGATATACAAAAAGCTTAAATCATGCACACGATTTTTTCATTTTTTCCTATACTCTGATGTATTATTTGGGAACAAAAAACTCTTAAAAGTTAATCAGATAATTTCAAAAGGAGCAGAAACATCAAAGCAATATTATTTAAAAATATTTATTTTAAGAAAGGTCAACAAAAATCTAATATTTTTGCTTTACTATTCACAGTTTTCACCAAAGATTCTTTCTATCATTGTTTGTCGGAAAACTGGATTATATCATTAGAGAAAGTTTGATCAGTAGAAATGAAAACGTGACCTGCAAAGTTTTAATCGGTTTTAATTAACTTCGCACGCTTGAAGAAGTTGCGGAAACTTGGTCTCGCGCCGCCTTGGCAAATATTTGATTGCCTCTCCACACTAGGGTGGTGCACAGAGAATGAGGAGAGACAAAGCAGCTAAAATCAGTGAGACCCTCTTTTAGCCAGATGTTCTCCTTTGGCACCAGAGCAAAATCCGACCGAGAAGATAACTTCATGTACTCTTCTTCTGCATATATGTATTTTTAGCACAAGGATTGTCGCGCTGTTTCTATATCTCGCCATGCATAATTTCAGAGCAAATATTAATTTTTACGCCCCGGCGGAGAGCTGCTTTTTGTATAAATATATCCTTGGCTCCATATTATGGTAGTGCTGTTTGCTTTTTGTCGAGACAAAGTTTTCTCCTGTGGAAAGCCGGCGCGCAATTGAGAGCCCACTTCTATTGTGATCACGAACCGGCCATAATTCTCAATAAGTCCAAAAGGTGTGTTTGTACGTAATAATAATATAACCCGCGAGTATTTCTTATTTATCCGAGCGAGTGAGACCGACTATGGTTCCCTGCGGAGTTTTGGCGCAAAATTATTATGGACGGGCTCACCACTTTTAGGGGCAGCACTGCACATACTAATTAATTGAAACCCTTTCTCCGAAGAGCCGCCAAAGCCCTAAAAGCTCACAGCATTATCTAATTACCGCCTGCGTCTCTCTCTTGGGACCAAAGACCCAGATGCACTTTCAGAATCGCCTTAGATTAGTGAGCCAATTTTAATTTCCCTCAAGAAACTTTTTTATAGTCGAAACAAACAAATCATTATTATTTATTCATTTATTTAAATTTGTTCTACAACAAATTTTTATAAAATTTTGGGACTTTTTTATTAAATTTCGAGACCTCTGCAATCACGTCGTGAACATTTGTTTGTAACGGGAAAGGGTCGCAGTCACCAGGCAGCATAGCGATCACTTTTCAACTTTTTACGAGTCGGAGTTCTCTGGGGGTGCAGGTTGGACGTGGAAAGAGAGGGAGTCACATTTACGTGCGTATTTATGCACATTCTAAGCGGCGTCGACCCTGGCAGCCCCAGCAGCTCTTGACATTTTACGATTTTCGCCATAAAAAGCGTTTTATTTTCCGTCCGGTCAGTGGCAGCCACTCTAACACACGTACATATTCATTGCGTATGACCGACCAGTCTCGGCTCGGCCTGTGGTGGCGGCCACTGAAATGCCGTGTGCGCCGGTCGTTAAATTCTAGACTTTTAGAGTTCCAAGCACAAAACGCTCGTTAAATGAGATCGTTATTAGATCTACTACCGTGTTTGAAACCGATCGATGATTTTAATAAACAAAGCAAAAATTGCGGTTGAAGAAGAAATTGAATTGAATTTTTGTGCTCTTTGTTTTCAGGGTTGACGGAAGACGTTGCAGTGCAATTGCAATCGCCGGACAACCCCAGCAGTGGAAACGACGTCACCTTGAGGTGCTCGACGGATGGCAGTGGGGAGCTGAAGATTGAATGGTTCAGGTAAGAAAAGTGAAAATTAAAACAAATATTTAATATTAAATTTTAATCAAAATTCACACATTTCATGGCTTTAATTTCATTTCTAAGCTCGCTTAAATATCTTTAATTTTTTTCTCTATCTTCTCTTATAAAAGTTGTAATTGTGTCGCGAGTTTGAAAAATGCAGGAAGCGTTATGAAATTTCAATGCACCCGCTCATTTTCACGTGCAATTGTTCTGCTGCAGGAACTTGGAGAAAATAGTCCGTAACGACCGACACACAATGAAGGGCAAAAAGCTGCATATTCGCGGAGCAACCCCGGCAGACAATGGAGTGTTCAAGTGTGTCACTCACAACGAGGCAGGCACTGTTGACAGCACCACCAATTACGCACTTGCCATCCCCGGTGAGCCGTGTTCTCCACTCTCTACCCCTTCGCCATGCAAATTCAATCTCTCTTGCCCGAGAGGCGAAAAAATCCGCCTCCCTTACGCATCTCCCTTATTACTATTTTTTGTCCTCTTCAAGAGAATTTTATTATGGAGATTCATGCGCGCTGCACATTATTCATGGCGTTTATTTTGAATTTTCTCATTTTTTTTCTGAATGTCTTTAATTAGGAGAAGGATATCCTCTGGGAAGAGTTTTCCCTAGCAAGCAAATTGTGAAGAAGGGAGACGGAGTCAAATTCGACTGCGGCTTGGAGGGTGCTGAAGAGACGCAATGGTTCTTTGGAAAGGACAACTCGGCTCTGGCTGTCTCCGAAAAGTAAGGAAAATTTGTATATTCCCGATTTAGTACAGAAGCAATTGGAGGGGAAATTTAATAAGATTGTTTTGTTTCTGAACTTCCTGTTTAGAATTCACGTTTTAAGATTAGTGAGAGATTTTCTCCCACGCCAGTGGGTAAATCATTTTTTATTAATATTCATTAGGAGTCAAGGCACTCCGGATGTGCTTCTCTCTGAGTTCACTTTTAGCACTTCAAAAGTGCCGATAAAAATGAATAAATTGTATTTCTCTTGAAATATTGACAAAATCCCTGTTTATACATGGATAAATATACCGGTTTGATATTTTGCATTCATAATAGTTGACACAAAGAAAATGATAATATAAATTTTATTAATAAAAATAAAGACTTTAATTTTCATGCACTTATACTTAAATGTTATTAAAAATTAACTACACGCTCAAAAAATAATTTAATTTTTCAATCGTGTTTTCCATCAATTATCAGAAGTTTCTTGTTCATTGTTTATTCATGATGTGGATAGGCCTTCGCTTAATTTGCCAACAATTTTATCATTGTAGGTACTCAATTCATCAAAACGGTTCATTGGTGATTCACAAAGTGTCCAGTGAGGATGAGGGCATTTACCGTTGTGTTGGCGTTGCTGCCAAAAAAGTTGCCTATTCGGCGGAGCTTCAATTGGCATGTAAGTTTTCAGCTCACACTCGGAATTATAAGTTGTGTAACAATAAAAATCAAGGTTTATAATATATTTTTTTTTTTTTTGCCTAAAGGATTACTTAAATCCTACTCACACATAAATTTAAGGCATAAAAATTGAGTATCAATTTACTTTTTTTTTTAGTTCTTGAGCCTTTCACTGAGGCATCCCTAGAGCCGCAGCAACCGCACTTCATAGCTGTGGTCGCTGAAAAATCGGAATTTGAAGTCACCTGTCTACCTTCAAAAGGAGTACCAAAACCAAGGGTGTGGTGGAAAGCGCCTAATGGAAGAGTTGTCAGCGACTCAGGGCCGATCAGAGTGGACGAGTCCCGATTAATCATTGATTCAGCAAGGGTAGAAAACTCGGGGAATTACTCTTGCGAAGAAGAAAATATGGCAGGGACTAGTTCAATATCTCTGCAGATTTACGTTTCTAGTGAGTTTTCTTCCTATGTTTTCATTTGAATTATTTCATTATTTTTTAATTCCACTTATGCACTTTAATTAAATAAATAAAATTAATCATGGCAATTTTTTCCTATTTCAGCCGCACCTGTGATTTTTCAGGACCCAGTAACCATAACAGTGGACGAGGGTGCCCACGCAAGCCTTTCGTGTCTCTTCAGAGCACCAAAGTACCCAATTACCACTGTTCGCTGGCGGAAGGATAGCGGAAACGGCCACTTCAAATATTTGCCAGAAGATTTTTCAGGACGCCATAACAATGGAACTTTGATGTTCACATCGGTACAGGTCTTGGATAAAGGCACGTATCAATGCGAGGTGACCACTAAAGGCTTCAAGTCTATCTACTCGAAAAAAGCCCACATTTACGTCAATGGTAAATCATTATAAAGAAAATTGCAAAGCTGTATAATTAAATAATAAATTATTATACAGAAAAACTGAAGTTTAACCCTAGACCTGTCAACAAGAAATTTGAACTTGGATCCAGTGTCAAGCTTTACTGCAAAGCTCAAGGCGCTGATAGGCCAGTGGTCAGATGGATGAGGGTAAAAATAATTTTAATTTTAATTTGTGCCTTTAAATAATTTATTTAAATTAGGACAATTATCGAATGTTTGAGTTTCCTGAGCACATCCAAGATGTCAATGGCACCCTCCACTTTACCAAAGTGCTGCGAACTGACAAAGGAAAATACACTTGTGTGGCCACAAACTCACAAGGCATAATAAATGCAACTATTGATGTAGATGTAATAGGTGACTAAAATAATATTATATTACGATGAGCAAAATTAATAATAATTATAATTATTTTTAGTTGCCCCGAAGTTTATTGTTGTGCCTCAAAACCCAATGGAGGCTGTTGAAGGTAATCCAGTCATGTTCCACTGTGTAGTGGAAGGAGACCCAAAGCCCACAGTGCAGTGGGACAAAGACACAAAAATCAACAGTTTTGATAAAAAGAGGTAAGCTCAAGAGTTTTGGAAGTTTCTTTAAATTTATATAATATATTTCCGGCTATTTAAGGATAACTGTTTTGGAGAACAATACTCTACTTATCAGTGAGGTTATAGCTTCAGACGAAGCTCGATATGGGTGCACTGCAGGAAATAGTGGTGGTTTTAGAAGGGAAGAAGTTCAGCTAATTGTCAGAAGTACGTGATTGCATTTTTAAAATTTATTTTAATAAAGATATTTTTAAATTTATATATTTTGATAAATTTAAATCAGGTCGAGACTACGTCCAAAACATGGGAGGTGCTGATGCTGAGGATGAGGGTGCTGTGATGACCAGGACGGTGACCATCACTTTGAGTGCTGCAGCTGCGTACATGTTGCTAGTGGTTGGTCTGATGGTCTGGTGCCGATACAGAAGACTCAGGCGCAAGCAGTCCTACCTTCAGTCCGGAGCAACTCCTGAAGGAACTTTGTGTAAGAAAATGTTTTATTTTCCAAATAAATTCTTAGTAAGAATCAAATTTCAGTGACTAAAGCGGAAAATGGGGACACGGCTGTTGTTGAGAAAACAGAGTTGCGCGGAAATTTAGTCAAACCCTATCGAGAACCGCGTCACCTGGAATGCGCAGAGGGTGGTTCTCAATCACACAGTTCGAATGGGAGCGGTGGCCACAAGAAGTCGCGGTCCAGTTTTGACAAACTCAGCTTTCCGAGGCAGGATTTGAATAAAATCCTCACTCTTGGTGAGTCCCTTTATATTTTTTATTTACAATTTTTAGTACATATTTTTCACTTAAATAGGTCATGGTCAATTTGGTGAGGTTTTTGTTGCAAAAGCAAAGGGGATGAGGGGGAGCATCAGTGACGAAGAGGGCGTTGTGGTGATGGTCAAATCCCTACAGACTAGAGATGAAATTTCACTTCAGGAATTCAAAAGGGAGATGGACATGTTCCACAAATTGCGCCACGAACACATAGTGCGGCTGCTGGGATTGTGCCGCGATGCTGATCCCCACTTCATGATCACCGAATACACGGATTGGGTATTTTCAATTCAATTTTATTCCCACAAATTATTTTTTAATTTTTTTTCTTTTTTTTTATTAAATAGGGTGACTTGAAGCAACTATTGCTAGCAACGACAGCAGCTGTGTCCGGAAGCAAAAAGGACCACAAGGGACTTCCGCCTCCTCTAACAATGGCACAGATGGTGCAGCTGGCGCTGCAGGTGGCTCGAGGCATGGAACACCTATCAAACCAGAGGATGACCCACAGGGACTTGGCAGCAAGAAACGTCCTTATCACGTCCAGCCAAACTGTGAAAATCGCTTCCGTTGGTCTCAGCAAAGACACATACAGTCATGAATACATCAAGCACCATGATATTGTAAGTTTTTCCAAATTATTTGTTCATTATTTTTAGTACTTTAATAAATTTAAAATTTAAATAATCGGATCAAATGATCAAAATCATAAGTTTTGAATTAAATTTTTCTATCAATATAGTACATAATTCAATTAAAAGGTTTAATATATGTATATTTTATTGCATTAAATTAAATGAATGCTCAGCAATGGATTTAAGAAAAAAATTTGATGATAATTCAAGTTTTAATTAAATTAATTAGATGAAACCGGTCCGATGGATGCCCTATGAAGCAGTCTTTGAGGATGACTTTTCGACAAAGAGTGACGTTTGGTCCTTTGCGGTGCTCTTCTGGGAAATGGTCCACGCAGGAGAGACTCCCCAGGCCAAGCACCCTGACGACGCTGTCGTCAGTCTACTGAACAAACGAGAATTGCAGTGGCGGCCACCTAAGGCCGCTCCAGAGCCCCTGCAAGTAATCCTCAGGGCATGCTGGTCCGAAAGCCCCCGAGACCGTCCCTCGTTTGCAGAACTCGTGAGCGCCTTCGAGGCTGTGTGTGTCGACAGTCAGATCTAGTTTCCTCGTTACTTATTGTTAGTGTGAACATACATAATATATACTCCTTCCTGATAGGCTGAAAAGTGAAAGCGATTTGTTACCTGCGCTGCAAAAAAAACATTTCGTGTCTCTTTTGCTTGCTTGTTTTGCTGTCAACTGATTTGTAGGAGTGCTGAAGAATTATTATTACACTGTTTGCAATCGAAGTGACTGCCTATAGAAATTTTATACCTGGGTCTTTCCATATTGGATGGAACCCTGACTTTTGGCCTTTTTGTAATTAAATATTAAATAATTATGATACGAGAGAGATATTATGATGGTGAAGTCCATAATGTAAAAACTGGAATGATGAAATAGTTTAATTCCACTTATTTTCTGTTTTAGGACATTATAAAGTAAGGCTTCAGGCAAGTAATTTTAAAACTTTTTTCCACTTAAATAGTCCTTTTTACAAAAAGCCTTATTATAAATGGAAGTCAATAATTCCAATGCATTTATTTCACTTTTTTGCATTTCCTTGGGACCACATAAGAATCAGTATCAAAATTGCATTTCAATGGAAATTTAACATCTCTTGACTGAATTAAATTATTTTTACTTGCATGAATGAGTGTTTTATTGTGGAATAAAAAGGTGTGTATTATATCCCTGGGGTAAAAATTATGATGTTCTTCCATTTGTTTAATACAGTCTGCTATCTGTTATGTTTTGCCTCAAAAAAATGAAATACTCTTCATGCAACGTATGATATATTATTATGTATAGGGAAAATTGGTGCACACATGTTAGAAATACAAAAAACCCCATGGAGTCTCCCTATTGCAAAAATTATTCAAGAATAGTGGTAAAGGAGATGTTATAATGACCTATTTCACACAATTAAGTGCTCCTAATTATATTTCAAATCGCCTCCTTATTATCATTAGAAAATAATGATCTAGGTATTGTGGTGTGTGCAATTCCTTTTGTATTTTTATACTGCCAAAACGTTTTCATTTTTCTAGTCATCTCAATTTTTAATGAAATTATATTAAAACGATTTTCAGAGCTATATTATGAACGTAAAACTTCTTAACTATGTGTAAATCAAAGTAGGCATAAATAATTTTATTTTATCTTCATGCAGAAATTAAAATTAAAGTAACACAGCGTGAAGTATTGCATGATTGTGAATTAAAAAATGCAAAATGATGCAAAACTAAATAGCCGAATTTGCTGTTATTATTGTGTCCTTAATCAACCTTGGAATTCAGAACCAGTTAGATTAAGTATGCGTGAGAAATGATTTTCTATTTATTATTGTACACATAAAATTGGAATTATTCCATATTTACTGGTAGCAAATAAAATATGAGATAAAAAAAATTTATGTAATTTAATTCCTCTTTAGAAAAACCTGAACGTGCTTTAAATTATTTATTATTTGTTTCCATATAACCGTGGATATTAAATAAATTTAAAAAAAATTAAATACAAATTTTTCAATAATTGATATTTTTAATGAACAAATCGTATTTAATAGATCATGTTGTACATGTTAAAAAAATAGATCAATTAATAAATGTTTTTTTATTACATATTATCACATTTAACTACTTTAAAATTCCAACTGTAATATACATGTTAAAGATAAGGCATACTGCCCCAATTAAAAGTCAAGAGTATTAGTATTGAAGCGCAAAGATCAAATTCCTAATTGGACCGATCGGTTCTTCAATGATTTATGAGTATATATTAAAAATCTTAAAAGTTTTCAGGCTCATTACACAATGGATTCCATAAAACATTATTTTCATATTGCTAGGGGGTAGCTAGGGTACCTGACAAAGTGGATTAAATGCTTGATCTGGGGATTTATTACTGATTTGTTTTGTATTTGGCAGAATAGCATACGAGTCATAAATAGGATTTGGGTCATTTGTAACATTATCAAATCCGGCGAAAGAAAATGAGGCGTTTGAGGTGCACCAACGTGGAAAAGTACTGTTAACCCGGCTCGCCGAAACCCAAGTCCAAGCACCCGCTATGGGGGTGTCTGAAAATTGTATAATAATTTAATGAATCGTCTCGGGCAAGAAAATTTCCACGGTTTTAACTGATAGCATGAAAATTTTTGTTATACTTAAGTTTGTTAGGCAGTTAACTTCCTTTGCAGATTCAATAGAAGCTAATTTCAACCCATGCACACAACAGTTGATATATCCCTGCCCAAGAGACACCTTTAAAAAATAGCGCAACCAAATAAATATCTTTTAAGTTTGAATGAGAATAAGAAAAAATATACCGGGCTTATGTCGTGATAGTATTTCTTGCCGCATAAGTTACGCACAAATCCCCACCTTGTTGTGCAGTTACCCAGGCAATTGGCAACTTCTTGAGCCAATACAGTCTGAAATTGGTTATTATATAAGATATGAATACAATATGTAACAATAAAAACAGAATAAAACCAGAATAAATAATTGAATTAAATAAAATCCCTGTACAAATACAATTCTTATAATGTATGGATAAACTTAGTTTTAATAAAATTGAAACGTAAAACGTAAAAGAATATGTCATTGCAAAAATACTAAATTTAAATCTTAATTAATTGAGATAATGATATTCATTATTGAACCATCAAAAAATAAAAGCTCACATTGAGGGTGCATGCGGAAGGGTCAAAAACACAGGCCGCTGGAGGAGACAGCAATGGTGCTTTTTCCTGATCAAATCAAATTTTTTGATGAAAAGAATAAATTTTATAGTTGAAAACAATAACTAACAAGAGGTATCAATTGATCCATGGCAGAGATGATGCCGCTTAGAACCACTGGAGCTTTTTCGCTGCAACATTTTATCATTTGCGCGGCTCTGTCACACTCGTCCATTCCAACGACTGAGTAATTTTGCAAAACCAAAATTTAGTGTATGTTATTTCATGTCAAATTCAGCATACTGTTAAAAGATTTATTTTCGCATTCCTCCATGATGTCAATGTTATTTTGAAGCTCGACTGAATTCCCAATGAACATGTTCTCCAAAATTGCCAGAACTTCATTCCCCACAAATTGCCCGTTTACCATCTATAAAAATTAAAACTGATTTTTCTAGTGGCATATTTAAAGAAAAAAAATATAACCAGTCCAGAGCTTTCCCCCACGCATTTGACAAAGCACTTCATAAAATATTAATATTTAATTAGTAATTAAATCATCAGTACTACCAATTAATTAATCAAATTACCTTAATCCTGATATCCTTAGTAATGTTGGGATTGAAGAGACTATCAATTTCAACTACCAATATTCAAATAATAATCATATATCATCCATTCATTCATTACACACATACTTTTGCTGACATTAAAAATAGATGCGCACTCATCCATCACTGAAGTGCCTCCTGTATTTGGCCTGGAATTGTCCCTGGCCTTGAAAATCGCGTCTTTTAACTTATGCAAAAAGTGTAATATTTATTAAAAACCTCGCAAATGTATCTGAGTTTGGACTGCTCGTTGTAATCAAACAACTGAGCGCTGCTGGAGTTGATAAAGACGACAACAGCACTCTCGTTTCCACCAGCATTGTCTGGCTGACCTGGTGCCCAAATCGCCTCCCGACGCAACAGTTTGTTTGCTGTGCAATAACCGAATTTAGATTCGCAGCCGCGATCGCTGCCCGATGTCCAGAAAAGGTCACTTGACGACACATTTTCTTTACAAGAGCAAATAATATTTAGAGCTTTTGAATATTTATTAAATTCACCTTTTATAGCTTGTATGATTGATTTGTATTTGTAATCATACTGCAAGCTTAATAAATTCATTCCAACTTCACAACACGCCTGCATCGCACCAACATACTATATAATTATTCAATGTAAAAAGTAAAATTTTGTTTTATAATAGGAGCAATATTATGTCAATATCACGTACTGTTTGAATCTTATTAGTTGAGCTAAAAAGATACATTCTTTCACTATAGGTGAACCACTGACCGTGATCACTGGGAACTATTTTAAATAATTATTTTCTTGTAAAAGTATTATCTTTATTGAAGTTTATATACGCTGCAGATATTGGGAGCTTCCCATTGCAGCATAAAACTGTGGCTATAAATATAAAATGCTTTATGAAATGATCGAAAAGTAATAAATATTATGATAAAATTACATTTTTAGCGCACGTGACATTAGGGCAAACAGGGGTTGAGCAAGGGGCCGGAGTTGGTGGGCCCTAAAAGAGTAAATTTTATTTATTTAAATTCCACTGTAAAAATTAAGCTACCTGGCAGGCGAAAAATTGCATGTCGGTACACATTCTATCTGAGAACAAGAAAGCTGCGTTTTCCCTTAGCACTTTAAGCTGCAGGCAGTTTTCACTATTGTTGACATTTTGAGGCTCACCCGTTGCCCATGGTAGCATTGGTGTTTGCACCTCAAGCAAACCTTTCTTTTTGCACCACGAAAAATCACTGTTGTTAACCCTTGAACCGGAAGTCCAGTAATTAGAACAGTACTTCCATTTGGAAACTGTATATGAAAAAAGGAACTAAATCAATTTCAAAATTAATATCTGTTATGTATACCAAGATAAGCAAAGCACTGTAATTTTGTAGAGTTTTCAAAACTGATCGGCTCCATTCCAAGATTGTAGCATTGTATCAAATTTTCTCTCCATGTAGTCTGATGGTATAAATTGTTTTACTTTTAATAGTTAAAAATTTTTGTGTGTAACCAATTTTTTTCCCAAAAGAAATTGCTGGCCACATGATTGCACCCAATATCCATGCTTTTTAGGATCTTCAGAGTTGATTATTTAATTTATAAAATTTTTTAATTATGATAATTATAATCACAGCAACTACCTTTCAAAAATCCATTTGCACCAAATAATGTTGGCTTACAATTTAAAATTCAGATTTTTTCAAAAATTTAATTGCAAAAATTAATTATATTAATCTCACGTCGCGTTCAAATGATGTCTCACATGTTCCAAGGATAAGCTCCTGAGAAAATTTAAAAGATTTAATCACGCGCGCGGTGTTGCAAAATTCTGTGCTAAGAGATGCTTCATGCTTATTTAATTGACCTCTTTGGTTGGAGGCCTAGTCGTTGTTGTTGAAATTGTGGTCGTTGGGGTTGTCGTCTTAGGAGTTGTGGATGTGGACGTTGAAGTTTCTAAGGTTGAAATTTTAGAATTTGTTGCGGACGATGAATTTTCGGACGTGGAAGCTTCCGAAGTTGATTTTTCAAAAGTTGAAGTTTTGGACGTGGAAGTTGTGGATGTTAGAGTCATGGACATAGAAGTTGTGTAAGATGGTTTCCTGGACGTTGAAAGTGTGGATATTGAAGTGTCAATAACTGATGTGCTTGTAATGGATGTTAACGCTGCAAATTCTGTACTTGTTTCCCTGGTATATCTTTATTTTATAGAAAAGCTTAGATAATTGGGAGATAAAACTTTAAATACCCATTGTTTTTTTCAGTATCATAAAATACTTCATTTGTAATTGGTTCAGATTTATCAAAAGGTTTGATTTCAGTAGCAGTGGTCTTTGCCTAAAAAACAAATTTAATGTTAAATTTTATAATACAAAAAATTATTTAATTCCAATTTTTTCTCAATATGCTCCTGACACCATTTAATAAAAATTAATAACGCTTAAAAAGGCTTAATGATTTATTATAATACTAAATATTTTAGTTGTTTTTACTGAAGATGTTGTTTTGATTGCATTTGTTAAGTTAGAGCTTCGTCTATTGTCAGTCGACCTCCAGCAGGAAACAGCTCTACAGCACTTGACAATCATTATCCTTGATTTCCTTTCATTTTTCATAACTGATTTTTATGAATTAAATTTAATAAACACGAAAAAATGTCCAACGTAAAGAGAAATACCTGCTAATTTGATTCCGCCTTTATTTTTTGCCATAGTTTCCAACGATACCAAAGTCTGTTTTCCAAAATTAATTTATATAATTTTTACCTGAGAGTGTTAAAAATTTAAATAAAACCAGAATAAAAAGAAGATTCATTAGCAAAACGCTTTCCATTTTCTGAAAGCCCAAATGCTCATATAATCACGCAGCTGCAATCGGATGCTACAAAACGGCAAGTTATTGTGCCAGCTCGCATTGACGTACTCTTGCCGAAAAAAAATATGCCACACACCTGCGCATCATGCTAAACTTCCGCCCGCAGAGAGTGTCGAGAGTGATGATAATACATGTGATATTAACTGACGAACATTATTGAAAAAATATGGGCTTGACTTGGAAATATGAAAAATAAAATCAAAGATAAACAGATACCCCAAAAAAAGAGGCAAGTGCGATCTGCTGGAACTTTTTAAAACCTTGAATTTCGCGTGTCCAATAAGTATTAAGGGAGAGGAATGAAAGGAAAAAATAAAATTGGGCGAGTTTAAAAAAAATGCAGAAATTCATTCAGCACTAAGCCAGTCAACTGCGAGTTATTCGACTCATTCAGCAATTTTTCTGGCAAATTTTTAAAAAAAATCTGTTGCCTTAATATTTGGCATGCAAACAAGACATCCGCTAGAGGTTTTTAAAATTACAGCAGACCGCAGATTAGGGTCAGTTAGTTCTTACATAATTTTTCAACGAGGTTGAACCAGGGTTGAACCCAGTTTAGATTTTTCAAGCAATAACAATGGGCAAAGTAATTATGCTCATACAGGAATTTCTCAAACTTTTATAATCATTTTGTTAATTTACTCAAAGTTTTTCCGTGCAAGGCTCAAAAGGTTTAATGTTTAATATTTTTCGATCCACAAATTCCACAAACCCCACAACCACGACGCGCTATTGTAGCAAGATACGCGCTGATCCGCGCTTTTATTATCGTTTTATTTTCTGGTCACGAGATGGAGTCTTTTTTGGCGATGGTGTGGTGCGTGTGGTGGAATCTGAAGGTGAGGAGGTAGCTTCATGTTTGTCGGAACTCGGAAGGAGGATCCAAAACAAACAAAGCAACTGCAACCACGTGTGAAGTGTGAATTATCAGAAATCAGAAAGGGTTTGGAAAATTTTCAAACCCAAGAAACCTCAGTCGCAAAAAAGGGCGAACATTTACTGAAACGTTCATTCTACTAATTGTAAAATGAATTTTGTATCTTGTGTGTCGTGGGTCAAGAAAGGAGCTGCCAAAAGTCTGCCCGACAAGGTACATAATTATATGCATTGAATAAAAATTACTGAGAGATGAGAGAATTATAATATTATTATTTTTGGATGTCAAGAGTAGTTAAATGACCTTTCTCCTTTTTTAATCAATTTCCATATTTCTCTCCGCAGATCAAGCTAAATGACGATGAACTAAAAGAGATTGTCCAAGAGGCAACGTCCAATCTGGAGTACGTGCACATTTATTAATTATAAAAAAAATGTGTTATTCATAATTTATATTCTTCTTAATTTCAGTGATGAGGATGATGAGTCTGGAGAGGAGAATGAAGTTGTCAATAGTTCCAACAATTCTGCAAACCCCACAAGCGATGAATTCAATTTTGGTGACTACGACGGGGAGTCTTGTAAGAAAAATTCTTACATGAAAATGGAGTAATTGAATATCATTAAATAATTCTTGATTTTCTTTACAGTTCAATCAAATGCTCTTTCACTGGGAGGACTTGCTGTTTTTGAAACTCCGAGGGGCGAACCAGAGGTTCGAATAGTTGACGAAGCTGACAGTGACGAGGAGGACTTTGAAATTAAACCAGAAGACAATCTGATCATTTGCGGACATGTAGAGGACGATCAAAGCACCATGGATGTTTATGGTATAGATAATTGATTATTAAACTGACAAATACTAACACCCAGGTTTTAGTTTACAATGAGGATGAGGGCTACCTCTATGTGCACCACGACATAATTCTTCCAACGATGCCTCTGTGTTACGAGTGGCTCAATCATGAACCAGGTGATATTTCGTATAATATCCAAATCATAAATGAAAATGTTTTTCCTAGCTTTTTTTTTTTTACAAAAAATACTTAAAAAAATTTTAATTGGAATTTTCAAGCAAATTCGCTAACAGAGAGTACCATTTTCAAATTTTGATTTTTTTTCCATTTTGAGAGCTAAAATTATTTTTGTGCACAATTTTCTTAAGGAGATGGTTCAGTAACCAATCTTATTGCTGTTGGAACAATGTCCCCTGTGATTGAGGTGTGGGACCTGGATATTGTTGATAGTCTCGAGCCCTCCTTCAGATTAGGCAAAAAGGCGAGCAAGAAGAAGAAGATTGAAGGTGTAGGGCACAAAAAGTCTGTGCTCTGCATGGCGTGGAACAAGCATTTGAGGTACAAGCATTCAAAATCCTTTAATTTCAATGTATCATGTTAATAAATTTTTGCAGCCACATTTTGGCAAGTGGGTCTGCAGACAAAAGCATAATTTTGTGGGATTTGGACAACGCTACCCCATCCACAAAGTATTCCTATTTTGGTGCCGAAGTGCAGTCAATTCAGTGGCACCCAAAACAGCCCCACGGACTTTTGACTGGCAGCTGTGACAAGTAATACTTGCTTTCTCTTTAAAATGATTCTTGCTAAATTTGCCTTGAAAATTAGGACTGTTCGTCTGTTTGATTGTCGGACAGACAGCATTTTCAATGAGTGGAATCTGCCAGGAGAAGTTGAGAAAGTAGTTTGGAACCACTTCGAGGAGTACAATTTTCTAGTAGGTATTTTAGAAAATTACAGATAAGATTTAAAAAAACTTCAATTATTTAGGCCAGCTCCGATTCGGGTCATGTTTTCTATTACGACGTTAGAAACAAAGAGCCCGTCTGGTCTCTTGAGGCCCATTCCAAGGAGGTGACTGGTTTGTCATTGAGTTGTTCTTGTCCTGGACTTTTGGTGACCGGCTCAATGGATGGAAAAATGGCTGTCTGGGACATGCTGACAGGAGAGCCAGAGAAAATTGATGAGAAGGATATGGGCGTTGGTGCTATTGTGGCTCTTAGCACCTCTCCCGACTCCCCGTTTGTTGTCTGTGTTGGTGGTGATAAGAAGGACAACAACTTCACAGTTTGGCAGATGGAAAATAGTGAAGCTGGTAAGAATTTTAGGAAAAAAATTGACAATGGCCTGACACTTTGGTTTAACAGTACGCAGTAGATTCTCGAACAGAGGCTTGATTTCTTTATCGGAAGAGTCTATGGAAGCAGAAGAGGCAACTGAAGACATGCAAAACATGGATTTGGCCAGGCCTGGTCCGTCAGTTGAAAAGAAGAAGAAAAAGAAGGCAAATAAGTAATTGGGAAGGTATTTTGGTAATAAAATCAACCAAAAATTAATATAAAAAAGTATAAAATTCATATTTATTACAATTCATCTACCAATCAATTCAACAGCCCCCAAAACAAATTCTATTAATTGCATGCCAAGTTGAATGATGCAGAGAATAAGTTCCAGGCGCAGAACATAGTTTTGCCACGCAGCAAAGTAAATAACTGCCAGAGATGATGGAATGCACAGAGCCAGAGACACGGCCATTCTGTTTTGCATATTTGTTAGGTTCGCTTTTTGTCCCTCGAGAAGTCTGAAGGATTCAATCACTCCGAGCAAAATCAATAAGATGCCGTCTATCCACATTCCAGAACTTGGGTAGGGAAGGTGCATTCCCTGTAGTAATGTAAATTTAAGTTTGTTATGATCTCGATAATCTCAGTAATTAATTTATACCTTAAATATAAGCAGCCCAAATTCGCAAAGCATGAACATTCCAAAGTAAAAGGTGGACAGGTAAAGCAATATCTGAGTTAAATTAATTTCAATTATAAATAAGAAAATTAATATGATAGTTGTAATTTCACCTGCAGGGTTAATGACGAGCCCATCTTCGTCTAATTTTCAGGATTTTTTGTGTGCTTCTTTAATAATTGTTAGTTTTTCAAAAGAGACAAAACCTCAAGTCAACTTCAACTCTATTTTTATAACTTCAGCTCAGGAATGTGGCGCCCTTGGTGTTTTATCTGTCAAATTGTCTTTTTCACCCTCCGCTAGATGTCGGGGTTCAATGTTATTAGCCAGGCGTACTTTCAATATTTGGTTGTTCTTTTGTAACTTATACACAGAGAGCTGTTCAGATCTTTAACCTCAATTAATGTGTAAATAAATCGATAATAATTATTACTTTACGGGGTGCATTGCATATTGTTAAAACTTGAGTGAAACGTAAAGAGGTATTATATACAACACATAGCTTTGTTTAAGCGCTCTACACATTTCAAATGAACATCGTACGGAGTTTTCATTGGTCAGATGTGGAGGGGTAAATTACAAGGGCACGCATATGATTGGTTAACAGAATTAAGTCCAGCTGAGAGCAACGAAACGCACACGGGTACGTTTAGTCCATGTCTTTGTTTGAAATTAGAGATCTATTTTGGTCTCGTGGTTCACGTACGCGCGCCCTTTTAGAAGATTTTTTTGGTGCCATCAATTAACGTCTTGCCGACAGGAAAGTGTTTCTCGAGACCCATTTAATTGGCCGGTGCGAGCGCAGTCAAGTGAGTCACTCGCCGCGCGGTGCTCTTGCAAGTTGGACAGACGCATTTCGATTGCTCCAAGTGTCAAGACACAGATTTCATGTTTTGACTGGGCTGTCTATTAATGATCAACAGAAGAAGCGAACATGAAGTCAAAAGTATTGCTTGATAAACACGACGAGCCAGTCAAGAAGGGCACAACCTTGCTGACGGCCAAGCCCTTCGCCTACGTGCTCAAGTCCAAACTTCAGGGACAGAGATGTGATTTTTGCTTCAAAAGGTATGCAAATAATGATAATTTGATATTTCTGCATTTTTAAATTTTATATCAAATTTAAAAAGAAACAGGACAAATTTATATGTATGCATAATTTAAATTAAATCTCTTTGCATAATATTGTGTGTTTATTTTTAAGAACTGACGTGAGGAGGTGCTCTGGTTGCCGGTTTGTACATTATTGTGGACAGGTCTGCCAAAGAGAAGGTTAGTCATCAATGACAAATTATATTGATTTATTTTATTTTTTATAATTTTATTATCAATAACATGAAATTTGAATAAATGACATAAGATATAAATTTAATTTTAGACCTGCAGAGGCGGGAAGTGAAATAGTTTATTTATGTATGAAATTTTCTATTTTTAGCTTGGCCTGAGCACAGTGCTGAATGTGCTGGTTTTAAGAAAGTTGCACCTCGAATAGTCCCAGACTGCGCTCGCTTAATGGGCAGGATAATTATGAAGTTAAAGGTTGTAAAATATTTAAATTGTAGGCTAATATATAAGATTTTTTCAATTTTTTAGAAAGGAGGTGATGAAGAAAAGGGTCAAATCACCAGCATTAGATACAGAAAGTTTAAGGATTTGATGTCCCGTATGTTATCTTTCATCATTAATTAAAAAAATCTTCTCAGACTTCTTGTAGATTATTCCGATTTGAAAAACGATGCTAAGAGAATGGAACATTTTGAGTCTTTGGTAGCAGTTTTGAGTGCGTACCTTGGCCAAAACAATTTACCAAACACCGTTGAGCTTATGGGAATCTTCGGAAGGGTAAAAATCAATATACAGATTAATTATTTTTACATAATAAATTGTTCGCAGATTTGCGTCAACAGCTTCAACATCCTTGACACTGACATGATCAGTTTGGGCACTGGCATTTACTTGGCTGCTACCATCATTGACCACTCATGTCGGCCGAACGCAGTAGCTGTTTTCGAAGGCACAACTATTTATATTCGCTCCACTCAGGATATGCCAAGTCTAGATTGGACAAAGGTGCGTTTAAAAATAAATATTATTTTTAAATGAAACTGACTTAAAAATTGCAGATAAGAATCTCATACATTGATCTCTTGAGTAGCTCTCACGACAGGAGAAAAGAGCTGCATGCAAATTACTATTTTCTGTGCGATTGCGCCCACTGTGCTGATGTTGACAGTGAGAGCAAATTTCTCAACTCAATGCAGTGCAGCAATTCTGGCTGTGACGGTGCCATCCCATTTGCACAGAAGGTTTCATCAATATTAGATTTGGGAAACTCAGTTTTAATAATGCAAATTCTTAGGAGGACGACCACCTGAAATGCCCAAAGTGCACACAGCAAGTGAAACCGTCGCGAATTGCTGATTATCAAGAAGCTGCTACATTCACTCAGGAACAGTTGGAAAACATGAAAGACGTTGCTTGTATCCTTTACGACTAAATTTTGAATGCTTATTTGTGACCATCACCAAAATTTATTTTCCTTAAATTGAAGTTTTAAAGATCTGGATGTTTGTCGAGTTGTCTTAAGAAAACAAGGCGACCTGTTCCACCCTCTGAACCTTCTGCGAGCCAAGACTCTGGATTCAGCTTTTGAAAGTGCTATTGAACTACAGCAATGGGAAGATGCTGCTGACTGTGGTCGTAGTCTGTTACCTGCCTACCAGTGAGAACTTTTCATTTAACAGCCATTTGCAAAATCTAAAAATGAGCCCATTTACACCATCCCATTGTCTCTATTCTTGTAATACTTGAACGCTCATTAGACCTTGGTCATTAAATGCTTTTACTTTCTTTAATTTGTCTTTGCATACGAGCCAATCTTTAATCAGCAGAAGTTCTAATTAGATTTTAACTTTGTCCTTAGCCACTATTACGGCCCAACTCATCCATTGGTTGGAATTCTCTATCTCAAGTTGGCGAAGATTCAAAACCTCACTGGCAGCAGCGAGGCCTTTGAAAATGCCAAGAAAGCAGAAAGTATAATCACCATCACGCATGGAAGAAACAGCAGTCTGTACAGAGAACAACTGCTACCCCTAATGCATCAACTGAGAAGTTAAATAGGAACTGTGAAATTTTTTTGAAGCATATTTTTCCAGTGGCCAGTTTTATTAAGCCACAAAAGTAGGGACGTGTCTGTGACACATATTTTTTACCATAGTTTAATTTTTCTTTATTTAAAAAGCTGACTTAAAAAGTGGCTAAATTCCAAAAATCATAATATTTTATAAAAAATTTCCCAGTACATAAATGTTTTCCTGTTGAACAAATATTTCATGTTCAAACAATTTTTTTATGCTTCATGTATAACTGCATTAAAATATTTGTTTGAAATGGATTCAAATATTTACTTGTTAATCAACTGAATGCTCTTAACAAGGGGTTATATTTCACTGTATATATTTTGTTTGTTGATTTGCTTTGCCCGGATTTTTAAAAATTTATTGAAAACGGAGTTTTATTTCATTTTTGAGGAAATTAATTATATTAAAAAAATAGCAATTGGAAAATAATCCCCTCTCTTGTTTTATTCATCCAATTTTTGTTTATTTTTATAAAAAAAAATATGTAAAATATAAAGTGAGTTAGCAAGAAAACTTTTAGTGGTAAGTAATTGTAGGAAAAAAATATACCAGGAAAAAACATATATGTAATATAATTAGATACATGATGACCTCGACTTAGTTCTTGGTTCCAGGTACTTTTCTTTTCGCTGTAAGGCCTGCTGATAATATTTATATGTATATACTTTTTCTTTGGAAAATCTTGTACTGGAACAAAAAATTATTAGAGAAATTGTTATTTTTTTGAAAAAATAATAATTGCATTATTTAAACAAATCAAAGAATATTGATTGTATTCATTAAAAAAAAATTGGTTTAAAAATTTTTACATTTTGGCATTTATTAAACTTGAAGTTAATCAGTTTTATTTTCTGTGGCTTCGAGTGATGAAGTGCTAAAAATATAATTATAAAATTTTAAATTTGCAAAGTGCGCTGGCATTCACTGCAAAAAGCACCTCCTGCCAGCCACTTGTGGGTCAGGTGCATTGCGCTGGTCATGCATGTACTCTAATTGGGATTGAATACAGTTACATGCAGTTCATAAAGTACGTGCGCAAGCGAGAGTGCAGCAGCCTTGAATGTAAGTAAGATGCAGTTGAGTGCAATGCAACTTGCAGTTGAATAGTGCTCCACTGCTCTTTCTTGGAGAACCATGACACACTAGTGCAGCTCCGCAGCGTGAGGTAATAATATATCATCATATACACAGGATAATAGAAACTAGCAATTTTAAAAATTTGTTTTTAAATTTAATAAAAAGAAAATAAGTTTTTTGAATGTTTGTATTGAATCTAAGTAAATAATTTTCTGGGAAAATCGTGATATTATTTATTATATCTTTATACTAGTTTTGAATGCTTGCGTGAATTTGCATTTTTAATTTATATAATCGATTTTAAAATAGGCACCAACATTCAAATGCATTACTGACATTATGAATTGCAGGAGGTACAAGGACGTGGGAAATTGTCTGCATCCTGCACTGCCTCTTATTGCATTTCCGCAAGATGCAATATGCATAAGCTGGTAATCAAGTGATTTCAGTTCGCATTTTGCACTTGCACGCTCAAGAGTTCCAGCTATGACTGAGGTCAGCGATTTTTTCCGCGGCCGCAGTGTTTTCATCACAGGCGGCACTGGGTATGTTGGAAAAGCCGTGGTGGAAAAACTCCTTCGATCGTGTCCCACGATCGGTACTATTTTCCTTCTGATCCGACCCAAGAAGGGTCTCAATCCTCAAGAACGACTAATTCATCTATTCACTTGTCCTGTAAGGTTTTAGCACTATAAATGGAGCTGCAAAAAAATTCAAACCGAGTAAAATTGCACTTTTAGATTTTTGGCCCTTTATTAGAAGCGCGACCAGATGTTATATCGAAGGTGGTGCCGGTGCTTGGTGACCTGATGCAACCTGAGCTTGGTATCAGTGTGAATGTGCAAACGGAGCTGCAGCAAAAGGTCTCTGTGGTTATACACTCGGGAGCAACAGTTAGATTCAGCGACTCCATGAAAACTTGCACGCAAATTAACGTAAGCGGCACAAAATGTGTTATCCAGCTCGCAGCCAATTGGCCATTGGTCAAGGTAAGCTTTTTTTGAAAAAGGAAAAAATAAATTCATATATTAACGAGGGAATTAAATTAATTGTCATTAGACAAGGTTGGTGGAATTTTTATTAAATAAATTATTATATTAATTAAAATAAATTATTAAATCTTTTCTAACTTAGAATAATAAAATATAATAATGATAGTAATAACAACGGATTGATTGCTATGTATAGGCTGTTGTGCATGTTTCTACTGCGTTTTGTCCCTTTCCGCAAGAGACGATTGAGGAAAAAATTTACGACGTGCCTATTGAACCAGAGAGGTTGATGCAATGTGCGGAATGGATGTCGGAGGAGCAGCTTGATTGCGTTACTGCGAGGTGCTAATAATTTCACGGCTCTTCTCAGCAAAAGTTTTGATATCTTTTATCTATTCTTTGAATTCAGCATTTGCAGCGATTGGCCGAACCCATACAGTTACACTAAGAACACAGCGGAGGTTTTGGTAAAACAATACAAAGATCAACTTCCGTTGGTGATCGTACGGCCTTCAATCGGTACAAGAATCTAGACAAAATAAATTAACACCATCAAGTTTAAATGCTTTTTTTCTGTAGTGATTTGCACTAAAGACGAGCCTCTGGATGGATTTTGCGATACTTTTGTCGGCGTTGGAGGCATAATGTTCGGCGGGGCTGTCGGGATAGTCAGGACCATGCCTGGAATCAAGGAACAAGCCCTGGATATAATTCCACTGGACATGGTTGTAAACTCCATTATCCTGGCCGCGTACAACGTAGCAAGGTATGCAGTTGCACTGCTATACTTTTTATAAAAACAAGATATTATAGATAATAAATTTGAAAAAAAAAAAAATAGGAATCCTTCAACGGACGTTAAAGTTTATAACGTGGTATCATCGGCAAGAAACCCTATAAACTATGACGTTCTTGAGAAAAACGCGCGCCGTGATTTGATTCACGACGCGCCTTTTGACAACGCTATGTGGTACCCGCTGATGTACTATCAAACCAGCAGATTGCAGTTCAGATTGATCAGATTTTTGTTGCACTCCCTGCCAGCATTTCTCTTTGACCTTTGGTTTGGAATTACTGGAAAACCCTTCAGGTATGATAAAAAAAAATGAAACCGTCAGTGAAAGGTAAAATTATAATATATTATTAAAAAAAAAAAATTATAGATTGGGTGATATTTACGATAAATTGCACCTGAATATGGACGCCGTTTGGCACTTTATGTTAAGAGACTTTGATTTCAAAGACGCAAACCTCCGAGATTTGATAGCCACCTGCAGTCCGGAAATCAGGAAGGTATATGCATGCGACGTGGACCAGATAGATTGGTCCTCGCTTTGTCGCAGCTACAATCTCGGCGCCAGGAAATATCTTCTCAAACAAGATCCATCTACCATTCCTGCAGCGAGACGAAGAATGAAAAGGTATAATTTGTTCAAATATCAAAACAAAATTATTTTTAGAGTTGCAGATAATATCTTGATTCTTTATAATTAAAATTTCAGACTGTTTATCGCGCACTGTGCATTCAAACTCATTATGTTCTTGGTATTTATGAGGATTTTGTACAGCATGACCCTTGGATTAATGAGCTCTCACGACTACATTACAGCCAACTTTTTTTGATTCCTAAATGTGTTATTTTTTTAGCCTCTGTTTAATGTCCATATCAATAAATCTATTTCATTTTAGGCGCCTTGCGATATGATTTATTAAAACTTAACCTTTAAAACCGGATTATCTTTTCACAATATAAATGAATTTAAATGGCCAATTATTACTTCATTAGAGTTTGAAAGGCCAATGTCTTGGTTGCTGCGGTCTTCATGGCAGAGAATAAATTAAACTATGCCCTATTGAAAATAGTGAGATAAAAATGAGATGATTTTTTTGCTCGCCATATGGAATTATTTTAAAATTCAAATGACCCTAATGATTGCATATTATATAATTTTAAGTTGAATTGTGCGAAAAAAGACCCCCGTTTACAGCAAAGCACAGAAAGATAACATTTTTGAATCACTATCTACATCACCTAAAAAAATGACTTAATGGCGTATCGCTGCCCTCTTTCAAATACCCAAGCGGAAAATCACTTTTATCATTTTTAAGATTTTTTGTAAACATGGCAGACATAGTTCTTTTTGTTGCTCGCAGTGTGACGGTAATTTTATCGACTGGCATGTGGTTCCCAATATTTATTTATTTGCTTACCCCTGTTGATTTTGACCCAGTGGCATATTTAGATCGATAAAGCATTAAGATTTCATGCGCCTGTGTCTCCAGAGCCGCGCGTAGTCTAGTTTATTGGCCGCCAACACTTACCACGTTCGCGCATAATAAAAAGCGTTACCTTCAAATTTGTGGCCAAAAGAAGATAAATAGGCACCCCAATATTCAGTGACTTTCCAAGGGCAAAACTTTTTACTTGAAAAATATGCAAAATAATAACATTTCATTTCAAAATTTTAATGAGGGCATATTTATTGTGACTGTTCAGAAGCTATTTTAACTATGTGACTAAATAAAAATGAACTTTTTTCCACGCCTACCAGTTTACTATTCTTGAGTGTAATTTGAATTCAATTTTCAAGTCAAGCATATTGCATATTATATGTAGAATATAGATCTATAATGTGTAGGCTTTTAAAATTCATAGATCCATACGCAAACCCATCATCCAGTAGTTCCATTTGAATATGAGAATTTTGGCTGCGTCATTCATGTCGTAAACAGTCGTAAAGAAAGTAAAAAATTAATGTGCTGGAAAATATGAAACAACAATTTAATTTATAGAGGAAAGACTTCATTTATAATATTGTTTGCAAAATGCAAGGATCCACTACACGATGTTGATTATTTTTGCTCTCTTACTTTGCTGATGAAAATGAGAACATTAATCATTGACATACACCTGCACAGTGGCGTGATCTTTTGAATTCAAACACGCATTGGCCGCGTTGTCCGGCGCAATTTATTATTTAGATGCACCCTTGCATGACTAACCTTTGTCATTTGCGAACTTCCAGCAACAACTATGGGGATTGGGGATGACGTGTTGTTTCACTCCACCCTTGATCTGCTACTAGTGTAGGACAAAAACAGTAGTCACAGGTGCACTGCTGTGCTCAGAAATATTTCATCAAATTTTCTTTGTTTATATATGCACGTGGTTGAAATTACAAGACACGCCTGTAATTAATTTGATCAATTCAAAATGCACCCCTTTGACGTTCCTATGTTTTTCGCGTAGAAAAACTGTTCCCACAATAACATAAAAAATAAAGTAAAATGAAATAAAGGAAAAGTGTGAAAATGTTTCTGCTTGCAAAGAAATGACAATGAATATGGCGGTGATAGAATTATATAAAGGCCAAGGTCCTCTCTTTGCATTGTGGAGTGACGGGTAAAAAGGAAGGATGAGGGGCTGCGCCACTTTCAGCGATGACAGGAATCGACGCTGTCAGCAGTTATACATAATTACAATAGACGGCTGTTCGTTTCATTGATTAGAATTCCGTCGCCTCGCAAACGCTCAGCAGCAAATAATTTTTTCTCCAGGCAGACAAATTTGCTAAACGAAAAAGTTTATTACTTTACGACTTGCGCCGCGGTTTTAGAGTGTAATTGGAACCAAGGGACTCGGTGGAGCTGAACGTGGTGGGGAACACATGGCTACTGAAAAGCCCAGGAGCGCCTCAGTGCTCGGCGGGTGGACTACGTGACATGACCTCAAGGGTTTCGCACCACCAACACTCCTCCGGTAAGTAATTTGCAATGTTTGTTAATAGCATAGCACGTTAGTTTTAATTTAAATTATTCAAATTAATATAAAAATTATTATTCCTATCTTTTTTAAAAAACTTTTACCCCTTTTTTGATTTGTTAAAAAGGGCAAAACAGAGGGAGGAATGACGATTATATGAAATTCGGATGAATAAATTTATTGAAAGACGTCAATGTAAATTTAAATTTTGGTTGCTTTTTACTACACAAAGCTAAGAGTGCTACAATGAAAAAAAAAAAAAAAGAAATAAAGCTTCCTGTTAACAGACGTCACTTGGTTTTGATTAGATTCATGCCTTGTGATGCGAAAGAGGGATTCAACATTAGAACGTCGAATTAAAATTACTTGCTCTTCCACCGGTGACTTGAACAAAATACTATTGACGAAAATAAATTGATAATATTGATGAAGGCGGAAAAATACATATATTTTGCAAAGAGTGCGACGAGGCGATAATTTATTTTATTGGTCGATATGCTGCAAAACCCAATAGCCTTGAGGAGTGGCAAATAAAAAGAAGCGTGCAAATCGAATTAGTCACGGATAATATGGCAGTTCCGGCAGTTTTTGTAAATGCATCCGATTCTGAATAGTGTTTTTTATTAAAGCTTGCGCTTACCACAAGCAGTCAAATAATTAATTAGTCAGTTAAAATTGTAATTAAAATATCCAACAAATTTACAATTTGGCAAGTCATAATACTTGCTCTTTATCCCCTGAGCAGCCCCTGAGTATATCTAAATTGTTTTCTTTGGCGTAACCAATTTTTATAGACAATGCAAAATTATTTAAAGTATTAATTGCAAAGAAATCGGCAAAGGGGTGAATTAGAGGTTCTTGCCTGATATATATATTAATTATGCTCTAAATATAATTGAAAAACCTTGTTAGCTATCAAAATGAGTCATTTGAATTTCATGCACTCACATAATCACAATCAAATGTTGATCTTTTGCGAGAGAAAAAATGAATTGAATCTTGTGTGTAAAAAATGTTTTGTGATAGTTAAGAAGAACAAAAATTTAAAATCTTTGTTAATTAATTTAGTAAACAAAGCATATTGAGCATAATTAAATTTTTAACTTTCAGTCTGCTAAAATTAGTCTTTGTTCATAAATTCATTTCAGAGATACATTAAATAGGAGAAAAATTATTTCAGCAAAAATTGAGGATGGGGTGCTGGGAAAAAGTGAGCTTTGGCGGCGTTCGTATGGGGAGCCTGTTAGCCATGACTTCCAAGAGCAAAATGACGATTTTTCAGGTCAGCAAACAAGTTCAGAAGGTAAATTTAGGATATTGAGCGGCGAGGAAAAACAAAATAAATTAATGTTAAGGTACTGGGGTTCATGAACGGGCTTCAACGGACGACTCTGCCCTTCCAGGTACGCCTAGCAGTCTTGACACTCCAACTAGGGATTTATTCTCGCGGCCAAAATCAGCAAACAGGGTTAGTTGGAGGACGGCCCAATGGCAACGTCCACACAACTCATCCGGCACACAGCTTTGGAAACCGCAGGTAAAAGTAATAGCACAAAAATAAATATATAAGACTGGTAAAAAAATATTTTTAGGACGAGGATTCGCAGAGTCTATTGTTCCGAGACGGCATTCGACCCATCGACTATGTGTTGGCATACGAAGAGGGCGACACCCTTGACATTGCTGAAGAGAGAAGGCGTGAGAAAAGGGAAACATTTGAGAAGAACCTCATGGCTGAAGGATTGCAGCTCGAGTTGGAGAGGAAAGAGGTCAGACTGTGTAATTAGTTGGGAGCTGCATTCTCCCAACAGGAGGAAAGGAAACACATTTTTTCATTTTTTTTTTTTTTTTTTTTTTTTTTACAGGACTCGTTTGACAGGAGGACTTATTTTGTCAAGATCCACGTTCCTTGGAGGGTGATGCGGAGGTACGCCAGTATAATGAACCTCAAGATGCCCATTAAGGTTTGTGTTTCGCTTTTTCAACCGAATTGATTTTGCCAGTTTTGACGTCGCGCACTTTTATAATCTAATGAAATCAAAAATCTACAATTCAATTTAAATTTTTACACGCAACAGAGGTTCATCACTGTGTCCTCTAGCACTTGGGTAAGGTTGGAAATGAGTGAATGAAATTCCAAATTGTAGAGATCTCATTAAAAGTGGTTGATTAATTTTTTATTCAGATGAATAACGGGTGCCAAGAAGAAGAAATTCCGAAAGAAAGTGAGAGTGAAATCGCGCCGAGACAAAGCGCGATGAGGAGATTCAGTGCTATGTTAGGACTTGAACTGGAGAGGCAGGAGCCTTCTTTCTACGCGTCCGCTCTTGCGAAACCAAAAGAAGAGAAGTGAGTATGCAATCGGCGTGACAGCACTGTTATGCGGTGCAGTATCTCTTAATTGACAGGGTGAAAAATAATGAGAAGGGAATGACTGCAGTGATTGAGGATAAATATAAAAGAAATTAAATTATTATTATGAAAGATGATAAAATATTCTCGTATTAGAAAAAAATCTTTTCGTCAAAGAAATTTTAAATCAAAATATTATTTTTCCAGGTTCGTAGTAAAAGACCGAGAGTTGGATTACACCTCAGCTCAAAGAAGTCAAGTGGCTTGGCAAATAATGATGCGGTGCCGTTATGATGATCACGACAAAGAAAAGGTAAAATATTTAATATAAATATATTTATAATTTTAGGTCAATTCCTCCTTGCTTTTAATTTAAGGTTGGGATTCGGAGGCTTTTAAATAATCAAACATTTCTGGCGGCGTACCCTTTACACGAGGGCAGGTACGACAAAGATCCCCCAGAAGGCGTGGACAGATTGGACAGAAGGGTTGCTTTTTCATCTCCAAACGTGTACGTTTTTATAACCGTGCTCTCCTCTTGACATTTGTAGATTTTGTACATGAACTGGGCGAGAGCGGGGTCTTGGTACAAAAGGCAACCCTTGTGGCAAGTGCGCAAGTATTTCGGCGACAAAATTGGTCTGTACTTTGCGTGGCTCGGCTTTTACACGGAAATGCTCATTCCAGCAGCAGTCGTCGGCTTTTTGTGCTTTTTGTACGGCTGTTTATCACTTAACTCTGCCGACAACATTCCCAGGTGAAAACGAGAAACACAGAAAAGCCATTTGAAATTATAATTTTTTTTTGTGCACAGCAAGGAAATCTGCGACCCAAAAGGCGCCGGCAACATTACCCTGTGTCCGCTCTGTGACAAAGCTTGCCAATTTCAGCAACTAAAAGACTCGTGTTTTTTTGCCAAAGTCACATATCTCTTTGACAACCCTGCCACAGTTTTCTTCGCCATTTTCATGTCCTTTTGGGGTAAATACAAGATAAAATAAATAAATAATAAAAATAAATAAAAAATATTTAGCGACCACTTTTCTTGAATTATGGAAGAGACGTCAAGCAGTGATTGCGTGGGAATGGGACCTGCAATTTGTGGACGAGGACCAAGAGCCGCGACCTGAGTTTGAAACCACAGTGAAGACATTCAGAATTAATCCAGTTACTGGAAGACGAGAGCCCTTTTTGACGTTTCTGGACAGATCAAGGAGGGTGGTGGCGTCTGGATCTGTTGTTATTTTCATGGTTTGATCTAATTAACTTTAATTATTACTTTTTATGCATGTTTTGATTTTAAAAAGGTTTGCATTGTGATGTGCGCTGTAGTGGGCACTATCCTGTACAGAATCACAGCGGTGGCAGTTTTGTACCGCAATGGAGATTTTTTTATGAAAAGAAATGCCAAACTCATAACTTCCATGTCTGCTGCCGTGATAAATTTGATCATAATCGTTCTTCTAACCAGAGTAAACCATTTCTTAAATTCATGTTTATCTATAATTTATTTAAATTTTCTAGTTTTATCACAGACTGGCGTTGTGGTTGACCAATTTGGAAAATCCGCGCACCCAGACTGAATACGAGGATAGCTTCACGTTCAAAATATTTGTATTTGAATTCATGAACTTTTACTCTTCCTTGATCTACATTGCATTTTTCAAGGTTCTAAATTTGTAAATTATTATTATATATATTTTTAATTCATTTTTTTCAAAATTAGGGCCGGTTTTTCGTCCACCCGGGTGACCAACACGCTCGCAGCTCCGAGTTTCTAAGGTTGAAAGGAGACGTTTGTGACCCAGCAGGCTGTTTATCTGAACTTTGCATTCAACTTGCAATAATTATGGTTGGCAAACAAGGACTTAACAATTTCGTCGAGCTTCTTCTGCCGTAAGATGAAATTATAACAACCGGAAAATTTTAAATTAAATTTATTAACAGGAAATTGGAAAATTGGTGGCGCAAAAGAAGCCATATGGCCAAAACGGAGGACAGAGAAAAGCCCTTGAAAAGATGGGAAGAGGATTATCAGTTGCAGGACAGTGGAAGGCTGGCTTTGTTTCAAGAGTACTTAGAAATGGGTATGAATTTTTGTATAATTATATTATGAGTTCATAATAAATTGTGTTCAATATTTTTTTCTAACGCAGTTCTGCAGTATGGATTTGTGACAATGTTTGTTGCCGCATTTCCTTTGGCGCCACTCTTTGCTTTGCTTAACAACGTGGCTGAACTTCGTTTGGACGCTTACAAAATGTTGACCCAGGCGAGGAGGTCATTGGCAGAAAGGGTTGCCGATATAGGAGCCTGGTACGGAATTCTGCAGGGAGTGACGTACACCGCCGTCGTTTCAAACGTGCGTCATTAATCAATCACAAGAAATTTCTATAGATACAGTTGCATTAAAATTGCAGGCCTTTGTGATCGCGTACACGAGCGACTTCATTCCCCGAATGGTCTTCAAATTCGGATACTCCCAAAGTGGCACGCTTGAGGGCTATATCCAGTCTTCTCTTTCACGTGATATTCTTTAAATATAAATCTTTTTGGCAACCTTTTATTGATCATTATTTTAGTGTTCAACACTACGCATTATTTGGAAGGCATGGGTGCGGAAAGGGCACGAAACGCGTCCAGCCCTCCAGTTTGTTGGTACAGAGGATACAGAAATCCCCCCGGTAGCCCCGACCAATATGACCTGTCACCTCAATATTGGCACGTGTTTGCAGCCAGGCTTGCTTTTGTCGTGGTTTTTGAGGTAATTCTTTTTGATAAAATGAAATTTTAAAATTTATCAAATTCAATTAAAAAAAAATTAATTTACAATTTTTTTTTATCTGCAGGCCGTTAGCGTTGCTCCTAATTTCACATAAATTTTAAGTAAAAAAACTCAATTAATTTCAGAGATCCATTAAATAATCGGCAAATAATTCTGCTACCCCAACAGGCAGAGAGCAAATTAAAAATAAATTTCGTGCTAAGCAGATAAATATCTCACACATTGTTAAGATCAAAAATGAAATAATAAAAATGTTTGTACTCACCGCAATGGTGTGTTTCTCAGCACATCGTGTTTGCCCTGACAGGGATCATGGCGTACGCGATCCCGGACGTTCCTGCTGAGGTGCGAACGCAGATCCAGCGAGAGCGTCTGCTTGCCAAGGAGGCGAAATTTGATTCGAAACGCAGGGATCTCAACAGGTCGGCCAGCGAAGGCACTCCGACGGCCAACGCGCATCCACCGGTGCTTCCCAGCGACTGCACCGTGTTGCAACACCACAAGGTCATCATCCAGAACTCGGTCTGGGATCTCAGCTGAAATTGTCAAAAATCGACTACATTAAATAACTTTTCCACGTTGTCTATAAAAATTTACATGATAATCAAATATATTATGTGACCAAAATAAAATGTAACAACTAACAGAATTTAAACTGAAATTGTTAGAATGTAGCAAATCCTTTTCAAATATATTTAAAAATTTTATTTTAAAATAGTTTTGAATGTTTTATTTATGACTTCATGAATCAATTAAGATTGCATCAGATTATTTTAAATGCTGGATTTTTTTAATTTGCATTTTATGATTTAAATCCTTATTTGTTAACTGAAGTAGCTTGTATTAATGATACACGCTTATTATTTGGCTACTTGGCTACATAAAAATTACACATCAATTCCACAAACATCCTGTTTTTCCCCTTTGAGGATTACATATGATGATTATTGATTTTATTATTTATTTATTTGCTCTAATTAAAATATATTGACTATGTGATTATAACTACTTCACTGTCAAATACACTCTTTAATTACAGCAACTTCTAATTATCATGCACAATTGTGATCATTTGGCTACATACATAAAATTCTAAAAGCTACAATGTACATTTTCAGCTCAAATAACTTACAAATAGCTACATTACATGCGGATATTCTCAGTTGAATTTTGGACTATTGACTCATCTATGACTTGTGTATGCATAATGCAACGGTTGTTGCAACACTGATATGGAAGACGAATTGCACTTAACTAAATAAATATTTTTGTTTTGAAAATATTCCATCCATCCAGCCACGGTTTGTTATGGAGTTTATGGACCAATGTGGTCCTGCGTCTAATTGTGGAGGGGGTACGCCTTGTAATGCAATTTTAGCATTAAAACATCAGGCAATAGTGATATCGTGAAAATGTGAGGAGAGGCTCATTCTTGATCCCCACCACCTCCACACCGTCATCAAGATTGTCGTGGTGGTGATAAGAAAAAAGAAAGAGAAGCAGCGAGTCTCGCGCTGTTCTTCGCTCCGACGCCGTTTGTTTTCTTTGATCATTCATTCACAAGCGAAGCCGACGAGAAGTCGACACCGAAACAGCTCAGGGCATGGTGGATGTCACGATGAACGTGGCGTACACGCCGGTCAAGGTGGTGAACCACCCCAAATTCGTCAACGGCCCTTCAAAGGACTTGGGCCTTAAAGACATCGAGAAGGCCACAAGATGTTGCTCCATCCTCAAAACAATAGGTGAGCTGTTTTGTTTACTCCGATTTTTTTTTAACCATTGACACAGTTAAAGATTTACTGGAATTTTGCAGTCGAAAATAAAATTAAAAATTACGTAATATTAATTATTATTATTGTGTTTTAGAAAAGAGCTGCAAATTATATTAAATTCAAAATTTTTATAGCACAATTTTATGTTATTTGAATATTATTTGTGCCAATTCGGAGATTTATTTTATGGAATCGCGTAGTCTTTATTATTATATTGGTTCGAAATTGTGTAAGTCTCAAGGTCTCGCGGGTTTATAAGTTTCTTCCGCTACTTTTGCGCACCGACAAGCACCAGCAAGACAAAATAGGTTTGCACACAAAGGCACATTGGTGCGTAGAAATGATAAGAATCCACACAATTTTAGTGGGTGGCCGACGCCACCTATGAGAACTCTATCCGTGCTAGGTTGCTAAGTGCGGAAAACAACATTTTTCAACGAAATTTAGTTTACAGTGAAATTACATAATAAACTTTGATAAGGGTAATTTAGAACGCACGATAAATTGCTCGTAATAATGCCTTCACTTTAAAAACACAAAGTTGTTATGAAGACCGTGATTTTCTGGATAAAAAAAATTATTTTGCACAAAGTGCGTCCTTCATGCTTCTTGAGTAATTGAAATACACGCGAAAAAATTATTTAACGAACCTTTGAAATAATTTGAGGTTTTAAAAATAAATAAATTTTTTATTTAAACCAAAAATTTTGCTTACGTTGCTTACATAGTTACATATAGTTTTTTTTTTTAAAAAACATACAGTTTTAAAGTTAAGTAGTTTCTAATGCACGTGATGCTCACCAAATGGCCAAAAATGGGCCAGTAATAGCCCATTTATTTCATAAAATAAAAAAATATTTTTTAGTTTCTTGCATTTGACATACTTTTACTGTTTCAATTTAAAGACTATTTTAATGTTATAATGGTTTATATTGAAAATTAAAAAAAAAAATTTTTATTGATATTATTGATCAGTCTCTGCGTCTATTTTATAATATTTATTTTAGCAAATATCCAATAAAATCCAATACTTATTCCATGGGACATAGATACATATTTTTCCCGATTTTCCCTTAGCTCTCTTTCTTCAATCTTTTGCATTGGTAATTGATTATGCGTGATGAAAATTACAATAAATATTACAAGATAAATTCATTTTTTTATTGCTAAATTATCATGTTACCATTGAAATAATAATTTCGATACAGAAATTCAGCGTTTTTTTTCTCTTATAAAATTTTAACTTAAATCAAGAAAATTTATATTTTGGTAGAAAACATGTTTTTCTAAGTTTTTTTTAATTGTAATAATATTCAATCAGATCAAGATTCCCAAATTTTGTTATCGTGAAAGATTCTTTTTTGAAAAAAGAGAAAAGGATTTATCAATTTGCTCTAATGACAATTTATGTCATCAAGGAAATAGTGCATAAACTGGATAATGCAGCAGTTAATTATGATCTAACATTTTAATTATCTATAAATCCCTAATTATTTTATAATAAAATTTCTTGAAGCACACCAGCTTTATTTCTGGAGCACATCAATAATGCGTGGCTATAGATTTTGCTAAATATTTGCAAGACACTTTTAGCAAACAAAGGAATTCAATTATAAAATATTTATTCCGAATTATGGATTTTGATCTAAAAATAATTAAAAAAGAACAATATGCAACTTGCCTGATGAAATTTGCAGATAAAAAAATACAAATTCCAGTTCACTACTTTTGGACGTTTTCTTCTCTACTCTAACTCTGCCTGCGACCCAAAAATACGCCGATCCGTAATGAAAGCAGTTTGAGCTTCTTTTTTTTATGCTTAAACTTACCCATTTTGACAAAAATCTATTATATAATTTCCTGTCTTTGACATATTTAAAATTTTCTATTGTGACCACTGTATTAAATTTATTCATAAATAACTTAAGAAAGCCGTTATCCTCCTTTTTTTGGTTTGAAATATATAAGACGCAATAGTTCAGTCCTTAAAAACATCCTCCGATCAAGTTTTTTCTGAGAAATTTTGTAGGACAACTATGGGAGGAAGGACGCTGAAGTAAAAATGTGCTCGAGTTGTGCTCAGCTCGTGATAACGATTGAAGAGAGTGGAAAAAGTCCAAAAGCCTGATAAGAGAGATTACCCTTTGGCCTGACCCGCGATCCCTGATGGCTGCCGAGAGTCGCGACGCCGCCAAGATCAATGTACCCTGTGAACCGCACTTGCTAATTACTCCAAAAATTAATTACGGAAAATGCGTCCAAAAAACTACCAAAAATTTACGTTTAAAAAAAACAATTTTTAAAAGAATGCTAAATTTTTAATATGAATTGTGCTGCATAATTGCTATAATTATTGAATCATATAAAAAAATGGCAAGGCGCCTAATTAATTGGTTCATTGATGCCACACAGCAATCCGCACTTCCCTCCTTGATAAAAATCGTACGATTTAGGCTGACCCCGTGTCATTTTTTCAAAAACACTTTATCGTCTCGGTCAAGGTTAATGTCATAGGAAGCTTTTATTACAAAACAAAAGCGGAAAATTTGCGCTCCTATTGATTTCTGGCTGTAATCGCAACGCGATAAACTAAATTTGCCACGCGCTGAAGCCATTACATGAGACTTTTTTTCCTTTTATTTGTGCATGTTGTGGTTTGACCCTGTATGTTTGTTCATGAGAAATGGACAGATTACTTTTGCTAAATCAGCAGCTACAGTGTTTGCCCTTTTCATCACTTGTCATGCGGCGATCTGATTAAATAGCTTTTTTCCATGCTTACATAAAATTGATGCAAAATGTTTGTATTTAATTTAATATGTATATTATCATCAATTATCATGTACTATTTTATTAGTGTGCGGCAGAGAGCGAAATCTCCGTTCAAAGAAAATCTAAACCTCTCTGATTTTAATGTATATTTTTTTAAATTTAATTAACACTGATTTTTTTGCTTTTATTTTTTTGTTATTTCATTTATTATAACAAACCGCGCCAGTCTGACTTTTCTTCAGCCTTGATTTTGATCCGAGCCATCAAGTTCATGGTGTCTGATTCGAGATGGAATCTTCTTTCATTTCTATTCAATATCTTAATGTGTTTGAGCAGATTTTGACGTCAATAACAAACCATCTCTCACGCCGTAATATATCAGCAGCAGCACGCAACTCTCTCGCGCATCATCAATATATTAAATGCGCAAATTCCCTAATAAGAAAATACAAAAGGCAGCTCACTTGATTGATTTTGATAAATGATCATGTATTGTTTTGTGTAACTCCAAGGTCAAGAAACGCCGGGTTTACATTTGAGAAATAAAAATTTTGCCAGTTGTAGTATCAAAATCGAATAGTTCATAGCGCGTTATTACAATAATTTAAACATATTTATTACAAGGAATAAAAATTCAATAAACTTTACCATGAACTCATAAGTCATAAATTATAAGTAGTATCTCCTTTTTTGTTATTGTATTTTTACTTAATTTAGACTTGCTTTTGAGCTACAGAAAACCGAAGATAAATTAATTAATTAATTAATTTAAAATTAACATTTTTATTCATATCAAATATAGATTTTATATCACTTCTGAATTTAATTTTCTCTATTCCTGCTCTACGCATTAGTTTTTTTGAAGGGCAGCCTTTTCAAGTTCAATGCTCCTTCTATTTCCATTATGCTGAGTTTAGAAACACACTAATTTGTCTTGAAATGATCTTGCACTTTTATCCATCTGCCGGTGTGTTTTATGATACGAAAATATTTTATAACCCTAAACATATTTGCGTCATATTTTATGGCCAGGAGCAAATAATTTTCTTTTCCGAGTAATAAAAAGAAAATTATGTGGGGTTTTTTGTCTTTGGGAAGCCCCGGAATTATGTAGCAACGCACCTGTGGCGTTTGGACTGTTCTTCCAGTTGCAATTTTTTTACCTTTTCATAATTTCCTTTTGTTATAAATTGCAGGCTTGGTGCTGGTCGTGATCACCGCTGTTTCTTCACTGATCGGGATGATCATAATTTGGAAGTCTGGACTGATCGACAATATGATTTCCCAGGTATTTTACAATTTTTGTTCGAAGGCCAAAGCGCCTTTTCCTTGTTCTGCTCGCCCGATGCATTTTGCATGTTAGTTCTTAATCGCGCTCGTTGAAATTATATTTCCTTAATATAAAGTTTCGATATTCCTGCGGTGCTCAAGCTCTCCCACAATAAAGTCATGACCGGTGTGGGATAACCCACAAAATTAATCGTCCCGCCGCCGCGCTCAGAACTGCTATTTTTTCGTCAAGGCCGCCCCTCTTCAAAATATAAGTTCTTGCGAATATAATACACACGCCCAGCCTTAACTGCGTAAAATCGTTTCCGCATCAAGTTTATTATCTCACGGAACACCTGCATGCCATTGTTCACCAATTAGAAGCTGTTTGTAAACTTAATTCGCACACAAATGCCAAAGAATTACTAATGCATCAAAAATTCATATTTTTTTCTCAGAAACTCGTCATAGAAAGGGACACTCATGTATATGACGTGTGGGTTAAACCACCTGTGAAGCCTGTTGTCAACGTTTACCTATTTAATTACACAAATATCCCACAATTTGCGGCTGGCAAGGAAAAACTTAAAATTCAGGAAGTTGGACCGTACGCTTACAGGTAAATATCTAGTTACTTTTTTCAATTTAATGTTTCATTTTTGAACACATCTTTTGATCACTTTGAAATAATTTAAATTAAATAATTTATCATTATGCAAAATCAAATTTTTATCACAATCTTAGCCTTGCACAAGTTAAGCATTATCACCAAGGCACCTTTCCTTGAACTTGCAACGCCATTTATCACGTGAATAATTTAGTTCATAAGTCCTTGCACTCGACTCTGGCTAACATTTTTATCAATGGGACCACGTGCCAGAAGCTGACCCTTTTTAGCCAAGAGTTTTTTTGTGTGCCTTGGGTTATTATTTCTTCACACTTCTCATGTTGGACATAATATCTAGAAATAACCAGTTTGTGCAAAACAATTTTTCCTGAATTTAATTTTATGTTTAAAAAAATAAAATAGATTTATCTGAAACATTTTTATTGCTAATTATTGTTTTTAATACATTTTGGGTTTCAAAATCAAGTCATCTTAATTTTTGCTGTCAATTAAGCTTTTAATACATTCTTAATTTCCGAACCTTAATATATACAGATTGTCATTTGAGAAAGTGCGGGTCCTCTTCAAAACAAACAATACTATCAGTTTTCAAGAAAAAAAGAATTACCAGTTTGATCCTGACCTAAGCAACGGCACCTTGTCTGATGTCATCACCGTTCCAAATATTGCACTTCTGGTAAGCACTTTTTAAGAGGTTTTTATGGATGCTATAATTTGCACGCAAAACATATTTTTCAGAGTGCAGTCGCTAGAGTTGTTGGCAAAAATGTTTTCTACCAAATGCCTTTGGTCACATTGGTGGGTGGTCTGAATGTGGAAGCGTTTCAGCAACTAAAAGTACAAGAACTTCTTTGGGGCTACGAGGATCCTCTTTATGATATGGCCAGGCCAATTCTGAATTTGGTCGACGATGTTCCTGATAAATTAGGACTTCTCGTCGGGGTTAGTTTAATTTTTCTATGACTCCATATATATGTTTTATTAAACAATTTTTCCAACAGAAAAATGGGACTGGAGAAGAGCGATTTACTATTTTCACAGGCATGTCTGACATCAATCAGCTGGGAGTGATTGCCGAGTTCCGGGACAAGAAAAAATTGAATATCTGGAAAAGTGACGAGTGCAACCGCATTGACGGCAGTGAGGGAAGCATGTTCCCTCCTCCCCAAGTGGCCGCCGGCAAACGACTTTTTGTCTTCTTGCCTCAACTGTGCCGACGAATGCCTTTCGATGCCAAGAAGCACATGATCACCAACGGCATGCCCGCTGTGCGTTATGCGCCTCCTGCTGACGTCTTCTCTGCGGACAACCCTGATAATGCATGCTACTGTGTCAAAGGAAAGTGCCCTCCGAGTGGCGTTTTTGACGTTGGGCCTTGTGCTTTTGGTACAGCTGTAAAAAATATTTTTCCCCTAAATATAATTTTTTTTTTTCAATAAAGATGGACCATTGCTAGCGTCTTTCCCCCACTTCTTCCAAGGCGATCCTGCTCTGTTGGAGCAATACGAAGGCCTCAACCCTATTGCTGAAAAGCACCAGTTCTACATTGACATACATGATGTACGTAAAATAAAAGGTGGAAAAAAAAATATTTTTTAATTTGAAAATCTAACATTATAGAGATTTGGAGTGCCTCTTGGTGGGAAGTCTCGTCTGCAGATAAGCATCATTGCAAAAAATGCTAAATACTTCCCTTCAATGAAGATGTTCAAAAAGGACATGATTTTGCCCATGTCGTGGTTTGAAGTGGTGTGTTGAAATTTACAGCTATATTAGTCGGATGTTAAAAATTTTAAATTTATTCTATAATTATTCATTTTATTTATTTATTTATTTTTTTGCAGAGTGTAGACGACTTGCCGCCTGAGGTGAAATCTGATCTGAAATTGGCAACACACACTGCTACACATGGATTGATGTACTTCTTACTTTTTGTGTTTGTGCTCTCCAGTGGTATGGTGGCATATCAGGCCACAAAAATGACTAGGGTCAAAGAGCCCCTTTCGCCCGGTTACAACGTTAACTTACCAAAGCAGCTGATACTTGTGCAAAAGATCTGATTTAATGGTTCGATCCAATTCTCGACTGCTGCAAGATTATTTTTCAACTTTTACAAAATTATGAAGAAAGACCTGACAACCGAATAGCAACTTGATAGAGGGCCAAAATCTCCTTTGGAGTTTGAGGTGTGCTTCGTCTGTGATAATGGAGCAAAAGCTAATTTATATAAAACATATTTTGGAAGTCTTTTATTTCTTATTATTTTTTCTCTTTATATGAACATTGTCGCTTTCTGACATTTTTCGCCTGTTTTCGTTTCATCAAAAATTCTATGTGCCTTATTTTAGGATTTTGTAAGTACGAAACTGTTGCTCAATTGTTTCTCATGGATGGTTGTGCTAAATGCTAAATATATGGAACTACTTTTATTTTAGGAGAACTAAAATATATTTTGTAGTATGTATGATGTTTATTAACTAATTCATGTGTATCTGCAGGGATATAGAATGTGATTGAAAATGCGTTTTTGATGGCTGGCTGGACATTTTATTTGTAGGAAAATACTCTTGAGATTGTGCTGTAAATTAATTTTGTAAGTTTCATTAAAAAAAAAATAATAAAATGTATGAAAACAATTAGTTTAAATATATAATTTTTACAAAATCTTGGAACATTTTTATTTTCCTGTTGTGGAATTTGTAACAATACACGTATTAAATCAACTTGGATTGCACAATTAAAAAAGTGTATGCATGAAACGTTTTGAGTTTAGCATTTTCTGTGCTGGGGTTTTCTACTGGATTGACCTAAACCTTCCTAGTAAAAAAGACAGTGTACAGTCCTGGAATTCTTGGCAAACTTTGCATGTTCCATGGAAGAATTCCTGCACACCGCTGCCCATCTTTCAAATTTTGGTCTCCGCATTTGAGCCGAATTGTTTGTCTGAATACTGTGGAGGTAAAAATTCTGGCTGCCCCAAAGGGTCTTGGCGTCAGGGTCATCTGAGTTGCTTCTTTCCAGCAATCAAGGGCTAGTTCTTTTGCCTGTTGCTGGCAACTAGACATCATAATACGTTTTCCTGTGTGACGCCAAAAAAATTATTATATAAACATATTATATAATATTTTTCTTTACTTTTAAAATTTTTAATTTAAAAAATTTCTTGTGACAAAAATGGACACAAAAAGAATTTTACTCTGTAATTGTAATAACTTTTTGAGTTGGATAAACATACTATTTATTCGTAGATGAGATATTTTGTTGAATAGACATTTCTGATAAACCTTTGTAACTGAGTCATCAATCGAGGGCTGCGAAACTGTGTACACAAAATCCAGGCCTTCTTCAAATTGTTTAATACGTGGTAATATTATGGCTGGAGAAAAAAATATTTAGTTTCAAAATATTTAATTTAGCTGAAAATTATTACCTCTGGAAGCCAAGACAGGAATATCAGCAGATACGGAAATTTTGTCAATTGCTCTTCTGGGTCGTAGTTCTTCGTAAGCACTTTGGCCAAAATTGCTGCTTTCCTTATTTCCAAAATCATAGTCCGAGTATAATGGTTGCTCTGCCCCTGGCAGCTGACCATGCTTCCGTACACTGTGAGGCAGGTTTTCATATCCCACAGTTTCTATCGTTTCTGGTTGTTGGGCGCTCAAAGCCTCTTCAGCGCTGTTCTCGGCCGCGCAGATTAGGTTCACATACTGGTCCCAAAAATCAGGGTGACTACTGAGGTAGTTTGTGGCCATCTGCCAGTCTTCGTCTAAATTTTCGTTTGGCATTTCTTTGGAAATTAAATTCGAATCAAATATAAAAAATATATGTTAGTAAATTTATGTTCCATACTCTGATTGAAAAAAGTAAACGATAAGTTTTTCAAAGGTACTTGAGCTCGAAGTTCAACTAATTCACTTGTGTTATCTTTATTAGTGCAATCTGATTGTCCGTCATGACCTGGAAAAATTGAATACGTATAAATTTATTTAGGAAAAATTTCTCTAATAATTTACGCACCAAATTTGCAAGGTAAAGTCCAAAAGAGATAGAAATCATTTCCGAATCCTTCTACACTAACAATTTGAAGATTAATTCCGTCAGTAGCCTTAATTGGTGTAGATGATAACAGGCTGCCTGTTGTGCCATCCACGACGTCAATTTCCTATATTATTATTTAAATTTATAAAATCAAAAGTGAATAAAAAAATATAAATTTTTGCACCTGGAGATTTTTGTTGAGACAGGAAAATTTTACAACAATATCTGCAGTAGTGTCATTAGAGAAGTAGCCTCCTTGGATTATGCTAAGATTAAAAAAAATTAATATAATAACTGCGTGTTAAAAGTTTTGATGCGCTAACCCCTCAATATAGTAATCCGACGACTTTTGATAAGTCCAAATTTTCTTCAAACTTTTGCCATCAATTGCAATCAATTCATTTCCCGCTGCAACCACAATATCTGCAGACCCATCACTATTCAAGTCTATCAAGAGTGGTGGAGTAGACTGGATTTTCCCATTAGCAGGTAGCGCCTTTATCTAAAAAGTAATTAACTTAGATAATAAAAACTGTTGTTTGGTTTATTGACAAAATACCATGTCAGTTAAAATCCCTTGTTGAGGGTGAAGGGGTATGAGCACAAGGGAGGACTCATCTCGAGTGGACAAAGAGATAATTAAATGCACACTTCCTTCGGGCATGACCAACAGTGTTGGCGGTGATGTGATATTGGCGTGACGGATGGTTTCTGTGCACTGCAAAATCTCGCCTGTTGCGCCGCTTAAGAGCAGAAGATGTCCCTGGGGGTAGCGGCCTATTTTATTTAAATTTAATACAAATAATCCAAATTCTTGTTTAAAATCTCACTTGAGTGGCCGCAAACACTGGAAGCACTGTTGTAGCCCAGAACCAAATCCTGTTTGCCATCGTCATTAACGTCGGGAATAAAACGCGGGCTGAAGAGGTCATTTTCAGATATTTGCGCGTTGGTTGCTGCCGGAAAACTCCAAATCATGCTTCCGTCATGCCCATTTACGGCGTGAAGGAACTTTTAATAATTAATAATTATTGTAGGAAAATTTTATTATTATTATATGATCAAATTTTTTTACTCCAGAATTTCCAGATGTGAGACAATCATTGACGCCGTCTTTAGTAAGGTCGGTAGAGCAGTCGAGGCTCAAAACGGCGCCTTCCGTCCAGTGGCGCCAAAGTTCCTGCCCGCTCACACCATCCACTGCCAAAACTCCACCATAACAGGGGTACTGCCCTTGGTAGTACATGGCGCACACAAAACCCGGATCGTCGCTGCGACTTATGGCTACAAAAAACTTGCTTCAAATAACATGAAACTATTAAAATAAATTCTACCTGCTTCAAAAGCCATCAGAATATCAACCACGCCGTCCGAGTTGGTGTCGACGGCGTAAAGAGTGCCTTTGGGATTGATCCCTTGGAAGCTCGAGTTCCACACCAATTGGTTTGAAAACTCTTTAGGAGCCACAAGCTCCACGGCAATCTGCTCTTTCCATTTGTGCTCGGATAGAAAAGAGTTGAAAAATAAGGATAGTGAGCCTACAGCAACTGGAGTGAAAATATTATCGTAATTTTGAATACAATTAAAATGTGTATATGAGATTGTTAAAACTCACTTATAAAAATGGTCAAGAAGAGAAGAGTGAAGCAACAGGGACCTTTCAATGCTCTAATGAGCGCTCTTCTGTGAATATTTGATTCAAACGGTGTAGATTTGTGGACCTTAAAAAGAAAGATCACTATCATATAATTTCAAGATGTTCAACCATTTAAAAAAGTATAGTAATCAATCACTCGCAACTTTTCATTATTTTTCTGTTCAAGAATTCTTAAGGCCTACATAGCCCTCAATATGTATTTAACTATTATTTTATCTGCACTCATTACAATTATTTATAATAAAATTAATAAATAACTTAAAAAATAAATTTATATGTTATAATCAAAGTATAACAAAACTTTTAACACTCGTCTCCATTAGCGAAACTCTGGCGATACTTAAATAAAGTGGTTTAAAATTAACTTTCATTTTTCATTTCCTTTACTGAATATAATAATTTTTTAACTGCTCATATGTTTACTTTTTAAGTCTGGGCCAAATTGGATTATATTATTAAATTAAAAATATTTAACAATTATAATATAAAAATGAAATAGGTATTTTTTTAAACAACTTCTACTGTAAAATTAATTATTGTAATATAAATTGTAATAAAATTACTAAAGTTTATTGTGCGTTAAATACGCAACACGAAAACAGACATTTAAAAAAAATACCTTCCTGCGTGGAGGCATCAATGGCCTATTAATGCCAGTTTCAGTGCCTTTTTTGGGTCTGGCGTGCTTTCCGTTCTGGATGAAAACCTCGTCATCGCCATCCTCGCTGTTCTCGTCCTCGTCAAAACTGTCACTGACCGACAACTTGGAGCCAAAGAGGTTGTTCCTGTCCGACACGGACACCTCCGGAGACTCGAGGTCGAGCATTTTGGCTCAAAACAACAAGCAACCCCCTGGTTGAGAGTAAACACGACTCAGCTGTTCCTCTCGCCCCTGTTGCGTGGGTGGTGCTGCACCCCTGGCGGATAGGCAGCTGCGCCGCGCAGCGACTTTGGCTCTGCTGCCTAAATCGCAGGCGCTCGCTCGCCCCAACATCGAGTTTCGCCTCTCTTGTGTGTGCAACAGGAAAATGAAAGTAGGCTAGCGGAGTTCATACTCTCAACCACTATTATTATGCAACTAAATATTCAGTTGCAAAATGTCTTTATATTTATGTTAAAGCAATTAATACCAAAATAGTTCATGTACTATTTAAATATTATTCAATTCAATATTGATATTAATATGGTTAATATTCAACATTTAATTAAAACAAAGAAAAAAAAGGTTAAAAAATATCACAATAAACATCATTTGCAACTAATCGAGCGCTTTTAAATATATTTTTTTAAATTTTAATTACATTAATTGTTCAATATAAGAGAATATTAAACGTGAAATGATTTACTCAAACACATGCTGTACGACTCCTAATTAATTAAAGGCACGAATGGGCAAGAGCAATAAAGCAATTTTATTGTTTACCTGTTGTTTACCATTTTTATGAAATTTTAATTGGGTTTGCTAATTTGCTGTGCGCTCCAAACAGGACAAAATCAAATAAATTTTAGAATTATGCCTTTGTTCATTACAGCTAACTCATATTAAACTCATTTGCAATGAAAAGCTTTTTAGAGTGTTTGTATTTAATTTCACAAACACACTCAAAACTCAACACAGCCACAGTTTTGTTTATTCATTTAAAGTTGCTGTTTGTAAATTTGAAAACTCAACATTTCTAGTTTGAATTTAGAATTATTTACAAATTAGTAACTATATTATTTAATTGCAGATTCTGAAATTCAAATTAAAGACCTCAGTTAGGTTTAAATTTAAAAATTATACCAAATTTATATTCAAATCCATGAGATGAAATAAATTCTGGTCTTATTGAAACAATGATGTATTTCAATGGTGTCTGAGGGAAAAAGGCTGTGAAAAGGCGGTTTTTCTGTATAATCTGATTATACCAAAGGGTGGATGTCACTGATAAATGTGGGCAGAGAGAATGATATTTGTGTGCATTTAATTAAGTGACACACAAGCGAGCGGAGACATGGCTATTGATCCCCAGCGTTCATATCAGCCAAACTCGGTTGGGCACGCACTTTTGCATTTGGTCACACATCTCTGTGAAAAGAGGCGCAAGCGCCGCTCACCCTTTCATCCTTTTCGGTCTCGCCCGCTCAACACCCTCAATGGGCCTACCAGGACTCTTTTGTTTTGTTCTAACTTGTGGTATCTTTTGTTCCAGTTTGACCTCTCTCGTCAAGTACTGTGGGTCAAGTTTTTGGGATGAAAATTGTCATTGGCTCTGCTAGCGCTGCCTTTTCAATTTCCTGGTAATAAAGTTTGCGCATTAATAGTTCAATATTCAATGCTGACCTCATTTAAACTCATGATTATTAAAATGTATTCAAATTTCAAAATTATCTTTTATTAATTTACTTGCTTCATCTGAAAGACCATTCATAGTTAATTTCTAGTCGAATAAAATGTTTGTTGTTAATAAAATAATACTTCATTAAAAACTATTTTATAAATTATGAAGCACGCCACTACTCAATGTCTCTCTATCTTATAAAATGCACAAATAATAAAATCAAAATTATTAATTCATTTTAAAATTTTAATTAAATACAAAATAAAGTCAGGCCCGGTCAGGCCATAGAAAGACTACAAATGAAATAATATCTATAATTATGCTATATTTTATTGTTTTTGCTCAATATGCTTTTAATCACTAATAATATTAATAAATTAATATGTTTTTATTATTTCAAGTAAATGCCATGACTTTTTGACAAGCAACACAAACGTTTTTTTATGGTATTCATGATAAGAACAAATAAAAGTAATTGAAAGCTACAAAAAATTTAAGTTGCGGTTAAAGGTATGGATGATATATGATTTACTAAATGCCATTAGCGGAAAACGGAATTCCGAAATACAATTTTTATAGAAGTTATTATTTATTATTTTTCAACTGAGCTTACAGCTGCCCATCTCGGCGTGAACTTTTTGAGGCCCCGTGAATTTGCATTTTTTTTTTTTTAGAGTTGTTGCCGTTTCTTCACATCTTGTGTTTTTTCTTCTCATTCTTACATGAGTTTTGAAGAATGAACATCATCAAAAATTAACAGTCTTGTGAATTAATCTTAAATTTTCATTTACAGTCTACAGTCAATGATAATTTAAATACAGTTTCGTTTCAACGTTCATAAAATTGTATAAAATTTTAAATTAACTCTAATGGCGTGTAATTCTCTAAAACTGCAGTTTTACTCAAAATTCTCAACACTCATTTGGAAAAAAAAAATGCTATATACATATTCATACAAAAAATATCGTGTCCCGCTTCTTCTTACGGAATAGTTGACTCTTTATAAAGAACTTTGATGTCTTGCTAGTCCTTTTGGCCACGCAGGTTGTTGAGCTGAAAGCCTGGGGGGCGCCAGTTGCTGAAAGTTGGTGCTCGCGTCTTTGGAACAAAAGCGCTCGCGAGAGTGCATTTTCGTTTCTTTTGGCGAGGCGACTTTGGGGGTGGGGGTGGGGGAAAGAGATAAAGGGAAGCGTGAAAAGGCGCGAATGCAATTTTGGCTGCGGGAAATTAAATCGAGATAGAAGCAAGCAAGAGGGAGGGCCCCGTGCACCCCGACTGCAAAGCACGGAGACAAGTTGGTGGTGCGTGTGCGCAGGCCAGGGGCACGTGTTGGGCCGTAAATGTGTGTGGAGCCGTGGCGAGAAGGCTCCTTCACTCTCCAGTCGGCACCCAAGAGGCACACCACCCGCGCAACTCCCGGCAAAAACAACCCTGCCTAGCTGTCTGTCTCTTTCTCTGTCTCCGCCTCGGCCTGCTGCAGGTGAGTTTCGTGCTAATTAAACGCGGGCCGCGTGCCCTCGGCATGTTTGTTTAATTAACCGGCTGGTGTGTGTTGGCTCGAGTGTGCGGTCTACTCGCTCGCACTCCCTTGCTCTCTGATATGAGAACGCACTCGGGGTGACTTTTAAAGTCGCCCCGAGGCAGACGTCTGCCTTTGTTTTCACGCCTTTGCCCTTCCGTCGTCGCCCTTTCGATTCGTTGAACACCACCGCAATGAGAATTCGCAAAACGACGCGCACCACCCCGGCAGCAATTGCATTTGTTCGCCTCTTCGACTTCAAATTACATTTATGTATGCCTCGGCAAATGCCAGAGTGAAAATGTTGCTTTCTTTTTCTGGCTCGCCCGTTTTCACAATTGGTATGGAACTCTCATACAAAATAGTCGTCCTTTATATTGTTAAGAAAACATGAATTTTTTATTTGCTTTCACAAATAAAATGTATAATATTAATTTTTTACTTTTTCATAAGAAATAAATTGAGCATGCAACTTGAATTTGAATGGACCAATACAAAATTTCCAAAATTTAATTAATTATTTAGGTAAAAAAAGGCACAGGTTATTTTTTCCCCAACCGTATTCACAAATTCACATGAGGACAGCAAATTCGTAAACTGGGTTTTACAAGTTTTAAGATTTCACACTTTTCATACATTCAAATTATTATTATGCTCAATATAACTTTTGATTTTTAGACAACAATTACACATTTAATATTTTTTAATTCATAAATAAAATATGTACTTTTCATGTTTTTTTTTTTAATATTACAATTTAATTTTAAATTTATTCTTTTATTTATTACAATAAAAAAAGTATATTTTACTGTTAAAATTTTGTAATTGATTCATAATAAATTTTGCTGTAGAAATAAAAATTTTTTTAGCACTTAAAAACATAATTATATGACATTCAGATCAAAGAGCTCTGATGATTTCATCTTAAGATATTGTAAAATCCTACGGTCCATGGTTGTCTTTGAATTATTACATACATCTCTTTTTGTCTGAAATAACACAATCAAACAACCTCTGATTGTCTTGATCACATTTCAATAACAACAAAAAATTTAATTTTATAAATTAATAGATTTTCATTTTGTGCAAAAATTAATATTTCAGGGAAAATTTCAGATTTATCCTATATAGAATTGTAAATCTGTATAAATCCACATATAAATGATTTCAAACAGATTACACAATATCCAAAAAGCTGATTAAAAATCCCCTAACGTTTAAAATCAAAAGTTAAAATTTTATTTTGAATTTTCTTCCACGCTAAACAAATTAATCATTCTTAATTCCTTGGAATGAACTTATTATTTACTTTGGCATACGCCTGAGTCACGAACGCCTGGATGTCAACTATGCAAATATCTGAGATATCTTGTACCATTGAGTCCATTGATTTGTATTATTCAGTTAGTCTTACGCAGCAGACAAATAAATGGATCGGACAGCCACGTCGGCCTCACTTTCTATGGCGTTTTGGTGGGGCTGCCACTGACACACGCGGGGTAGGGTGGTTCGTTTCCATATTTGGGCTATCAGTTTAGGTGAGCGCCACAGGGAGGGGCAGTAAAAATCAGCTATTGATTAACTATTCCAGGGCCGAGATTTATTTTTTACCGCTGTCGGGAAGGAAATGCGCGCGGTGCTTGCTCGGGGCCGCAATCAGATTGGCACTAAAAGTTGAGTTCACAACGAGAACGAGCAAAATGCACCCTTCAGCCGCTCTCCAGCTCCCTCGTGGACAGCCCCCGTCGTCATAATAACGTTCAGATTTATGGGTTTATCATGAGACGAGCATACTCGTTATTGCGCTTTGCCGCATTCGTTTCCAGGCTGCGCTGCCGCATATATTGAGAGGAGATCAAGTTCCGAGGGATCGGAAATTCATTTTAGATAATATTGTCTGACACGATTCCATGAAAAAATTGCTTTCGGAGGAAATTTGTCACCACAACAGGGGAGAAAATATTAAAATCAGTTAAATTATTGTGAAATATTTAAATTTTAAATTTCTTTTTGTAAACAAAATATACTTGTG